TGATGATTACTTTGCCGAGGGTGAAGAGAAAAGTCGGGAGCAAGACTATGCGCCGTCACGGCATGGAACTCCTCTACCTCCGCCACCGAAGGTAGGAGCCGAGCCCTCTCACTCGGAGAGCCCTGCGCCGGAAGGATCACCAGGGCCTGCGCAGGAAGAATGAATGAATAGCTTAGAGAAAACAGAAATCAATTTAATGTAGAGTATGACGAAATCAAATTATGTCGATCATCGCAAGCTACCTGTTCCCATTTGCAAGCATACGCTCATAGGTGCTCTTGTCAGGCCACATACTCTATGACTGAACGATTCAAACAAAAGGAATCAATCCGGGTATGTCTTCGGATCTACGAGTTCTAAGCGTACATATGCAACAAATAAATCCGCTCTATAGCCCCAAACAGCTGGGCTATATTTAGTGACCCTTGCTCACCAGCTCTTCCAACTTCTTCCGAGTGTCACCGATCTTCTCCTCCATCATCTGGCGCGCCATTCCGCTGTGCGCAAGGCCGGTGTACCAGATGTGGTCCGCACGCTCACGGAAAGCCAAGTGCTTCTCCGCAACGGCAGGGACCTTCTTCTCGTACTCCCAAACCAAGTCTCCAACATTCCGCATCGTCACGGGCAGGAGGGTGTAGGCGGCAGCAGTACCGAAAGCGAGCGGGGAGGCAGTGCGGAGGAAGATGCCACGGTTACGGGAGACAATGGAACCGGCCATGGCGGCCACGACGACATAGACACCGCCGGGCAAAAGACGCTCGCCGGACTCGGCAGAAGGTGCGAGCGAAGCAACGGTGTTGGTGAAGCAGTTTTCGATGTTGAGGGCCCGAGACAGGAAGTTGTTGAAGCCCTGCTCTGCGGCAAGGGAGTGTGAGTAGAGGAAGAGGCGAGCTTGTCGGACCTGAGCGGTCAGGATGTCTGTCGGGGTGGGCGAAGAGGGAGCTTGTTGCGCAGCCGGCGCGGCGATCAACTTGGGGGTGGTAGGCGCAGCAAGCTGAGAGGGTTTGGAGGGTTCAGGAATGTCGGCTGGGAAGTCATCGTAGATAGGTTTCCGCTATATTAGGGAAGCAGTCGTGTGTCAGACCAAGCCTTTCAGACATTCAACAGAGCTAGGAACAGATTTGGTCATACATTGTCTCGAGGCTCTTCTGCGAATGCGGTCTTCTTAGGGTACAGAGCAATACCTCCCGCGAGGAGAGTGGCTGCGATCGGAGCCACAGCCCGCTGGTCACAAGTCAGTATGGAAACGGGACATTGGGGAATCAATTGCATCCAGCTTGAAAGGAAGCAATTATACAAAGACATACCTGTTGCAACATCGGCCGGAATGACATCCTGAAGGTGTGGGGAAGAGCAGAGGGGGGGGGGAGCTGGTAGTGAGGATGAAGCAAAGTCGTGTTGGAGCAGGACGGGAATTCTTCGGCTCGGCGGAACGTCCAGAAAACTCCGTCATTGCCCGTTCTCCTTCACTCTATATTTCTTTCAATAGGGAATTTGTGATTTACATTTTCCGATGGTTTTAATCTGCTTCTAATATAATATCCAAAATGCTTCGCCCTTTACGACGAACATGGACATGTCGGAAATGCCTACATCTGCGGCCCCAATATCGAGCCTTCGAGAGCGCCGCATCTTCTCCGTCAACATCGTTTGAGTACATTCCAGCCGATAACAGTGCACCAAGAAAGAAGACCGATGACCATACTCTGCGCCGCGTTTTTGATTCCCAACCGTTTTGGAATGAGTTCTCCCAGCAGCGCACCACCACAATCCCACGGCGAGCTGGATTGGTCCAAAACCAGTACCTGACAAGCCCCGAGGGCTTTAGGACATTCGCAAATGTCTCGCTACAGAGATGCCAGGCTATCGTTGCCAAGGTGCTTGCCGCCTCGACAGTTGAAGAATACAGGGCCCTAGCACGAGACCTTGACCAGCTGAGCGATCTCCTGTGTCGCGTCATCGATCTGTCCGACTTCATTCGAACCATTCACCCCGATCCGCGGATACAAGAAGCAGCCACGCAGGCGTGGGCTCTTATGTTTGAATATATGAACGTTTTGAACACAACTACAGGGCTTCATGAACAGCTCAATAAGGCCTTAAACAACCCCGACGTGACATCACACTGGACCGAGGCAGAACGGATCGTGGCACAGATTCTCAACAAGGATTTCTCGAACTCTGCAATTCATATGCCACCCAATGTGAGGCAGCGTTTTGTAAATCTCTCGAATGATGTGAGCCAGTTAGGTTCTGATTTCATGAATGGCGCGGAGCCTGCAAGGTCCCAGGTAGTTTTTGGTGCCAACAGCCTTCAAGGATTGGATCCTATGGTTATCTCCAAGATCAAGCGGTGGAATAAGAAAGCGCCAGTTCCGACTATGGGAATTGTCCCTCGACTTGCTTTGCGCTCGGTGCATGATGAAGATGTTCGCAAAGACATCTATCTCGCGACTCGAACATCCAGCAAGCGCCAAATTCAAAGGTTGGAAGAGCTTCTAGTGAAGAGGGCGGAGTTGGCACAACTTACGGGCTACAATAGCTTTGCGCACATGACTCTCGGTGACAAAATGGCCAAGACACCCGAAGCAGTGTCGAACTTCTTGACTTCGCTTGTGTCAAGCAACCAGGGTCCAGTCCGGGAAGAACTTTCTAAGCTGCAGGACTTGAAAGGGGGCTCCTCTCTGCGGCCCTGGGATCATGCATACTACGTTCATAAGCGCGTCCTAGAGTATTCCCAAGCTCGTCGCTCTCGTCACATGGGTGTTATCAATGAGTTCTTTTCTCTAGGCACAGTGATGCAAGGTCTCTCTCGACTGTTCGACCGTTTGTACGGTGTGCGTCTAGTCCCTCATGAAGCATCTCCGGGCGAGACTTGGCATCCGGACGTTCGTCGATTAGATGTGGTGGATGAATCGGAGAATCACATTGCAGTCGTCTACTGTGACCTGTTTACACGGCCGAGCAAACACCCGAATCCGGCTCACTTTACTCTGCGCTGCTCGCGCGAAATATCTGCAGAGGAGATTGCCGAGTGTGCCTCCCTGGATCAATCTGCGCACCCGAATGACGGCATGGCCACTGGCGTGGACCCGCAAACTAACACACTGCGCCAACTACCAACCATTGCCCTCGTGTGTGATTTCCAGGAACCTCAAGCCAATGGCAGCGGCCAACCAACCCTCTTGAGTGAGCAGAGTGTTCGCACCTTATTCCACGAGATGGGCCATGCTGTTCACTCCATCCTAGGCCAGACACCTCTGCAGTCCATCTCGGGTACTCGTTGCGCCACGGACTTCGCTGAACTTCCGTCCGTATTGATGGAGAGCTTTGCGACTGCGCCAGAGGTGCTGCGTCTCTACGCGCGACACTGGAAGACCGATGAGCCTCTGTCTGAGAGCATGATGCAGAGCATGGAGCTAGACCGCACTGCGCATGGGTCCATCTATGGTGCCGTTGAGAACGAAGCACAGATCCTCATGGCGCTCGTTGATCAGGCCTATCACTCGATCCCAGCTGATGTCAGCTCAGCTGGCATTGATTCCACCGCTATCTATCATCGTGTCTTTTCTGAGTATTCCAGTCTGCCCGACCCAAACAATGTCCAGCCACGTACCTCTTGGCAGGGCTTCTTCGGCCACTTGTATGGCTACGGTGCCACGTACTACAGCTATATCTTTGACCGCGCGATCGCAAACAAACTCTGGCAGGACGTCTTCCAGTCTGGTCAGGCAGCAACTGATCGTGCCGCCGGAGAGCGATACAAGAACGAAGTCCTCCGCTGGGGTGGTGGCCGCAATGGCTGGCAATGTGTGGCCGGTGTCCTGGGAAACAGCAACCCCTCCAATACCAACGGACGGCTGGCTGAAGGTGGTGATGAGGCCATGCGTGAGGTTGGTCGCTGGGGCCTCGGGCGTGAAGGTATGTCTGGATAATGTGACACGAGTGTACTTTTATTGCCTTTTTGATACATCTATACCTGCCTTAAAAGGCTTTGTAAATATACATAGGTTCGTGATATGATTTGATCTGGACATTTTCGATTAAACTCTTAAGGCTTGAACTGCCCATTCACTGTGGACAAATGATTATCATCGAATACGATTCAGCCGCACGGACATTATGGGCCTATAATACATTGTGAACTAGTATATCCAATAAGAGCCCACAACATAGTTAGGCAATCCAGTGATCTCCGGTGTGCATTGGATGCAATGTCTGAGACAAGGCTCCTCCTAAGTAGCGCCACCGTTATTGGCGTTGGTTATGCTGGTTATGGCGGGGTGACTACAATGTCTCACTACCCCTTTGTCTCGTGTCGTACGAGGTTTTAATCCCGTTTATTATTGTACGGAGTACGGAGTACTACTTGAAAAGTCTTCACACAAAATGAAAGTGAATAGACAATAGGATCAAGACTAGGGGAGTAAGACTAGGCAAAGTATGACTTTCCCACAACCAACAAGCCTTATCGCACGTTTTCGTCCTCCAGTCTCAGTGCCTCTGACGTATTTCCTCTTTCGCTGTGCATGTGGTGGCTTGCCGTAGCGTAGCAGACCCTGCTACGCCCCGATGATAACAGGCAAAGCGCGGTCTTGGAGTTGTATTGCCTAGGCATGGCACATGCTCTTTGTGTAGTTTATACTCCGTATACTCCGTAGTATTCCAAGTAACCTAAGTTGCCGTGAATAATACTTTAATATAGAAAGTATGTCCCACTTTAGGGGTGTGGGTTATATACCTGCTTGAGCATCTAGGCCTTCTTATCTTCTTACTACATCTGCAATTCATTTGCAATAGATACAAAGTACCTCCCATGTACTTCATAATTCACCGCTCTCTCTTGTTCATTGTATGATATTGCAATTTTAACCTATTTTCGTTTCACCCCTGCTCAATCAGACTGAATACCGTTTGCAACGCGGAGAAATTATTTATTTCCAGCCTGACCTTCGATCTTCTTCTTGCAAACACCATTCAAATTAGTCTACTCATTCAAAATGCCTAATATCCTCATTGTCAATGACAATGCCTCCTTCGCTTCAAGCGATACCTTCTCTACTCGAGATTCGATAGAGCAATCACGCCACTCACTCCGTCGAAGAAACACAGTTTCCCAGCTTACAAGAAAGGTCTCTAAGAGAATATCTCAAAAAATCCTCAAGGCCGGAGCTCAAGAACATGTGCTGAGCGCAAGGAATCTCAAAGATCTCAACGACGCAGCAGATATTGATCCACACAACCTATGCTCGCCAGCTCATCAAGTTCACGACGTTAAGATATACGACCCTATTCACGAGATCATTGAGGAGGAATGCCCTATATTTGATGTGGAAGCAGCCAGAGAGATGCGTCTTCATCAGTCGTACGCAACCTTCTGTCAAAACTTCACGCTATCGGGGACAACAAGCAGGAGTAGGAAGTTCGATTTATCAATGGGAACGGAGGGGGCAGATGAACATACACAATCCTCTCACACGGATCTGACTCTCAAAAACAACGACACATCGGAATTTTCGGGTTCTCATGCCTCTCCCGAGCACATAACGGTCCATTCAAGGCCCAGACCAAATACAGTCACATTCCCAATATCATACCCATCTACGGATCTTGATGATACACCCATACCACACTCAGCAACTGTCAAAAATACCTCTTCGGAACTTCCAGTCACAGAAACATCAAAAGTCGACGACGACTTTGACAGAATCAGTTCAAGTTTCGAGATAACGCCCAGCTCCAACTACCCCCAACCACCACCTCGCATTATCACCCCGACTGTCTGGATGGACATGCAGCGCAACGAGCGAGAACGCAAAGCAGCTCGACGGCAAAGACTTTTAAACCCGTTTCGGTCATGGTTCATGACAAGCCAGCCCTTGTCGGGGCAGAGATATGAAGTTGGTAAATAGCGGGTTAGAATAACGGGTTCTGCTGTCGGGCAAAGCAGAGCAGGTCTGATATATTGGATGGCTTTCAAATTCGCTGGTTGTATTTTAAATAGAATTCTATCTTAATCAAACAAACAATTCATACTTGCTTTTTGCTTTGAAACATGTTAATATCACTTGCCTGGACCCCGCATGGGCAGTCTCATCTCGCCTCCAAATGCCTGGGTTTCAACGCCATATGCGCCAATCTTGAAATTGGATAGGCTTTTGGGATCTTGTGTGTGTGGTTTGACCCCGCGAGGCTTATCATTGTATATTGTATAATATAAGATACATATGATAGGAACACCACTTCATTTCAACACGAGTTTGCAGAAGCCATGACCTCTTAGGAGGTAAAGTAGACAAACTATGCAGTACCTAGTCATGCGTTTCGTATCTCATTCACTGCAATTTTTTTTAAAAGAAGTGTCTCGGGCATATAAACGAAACTTGAACTCAGCAAGTCATTGATGCATCGGAGGGGTCAGCATACGCCACTATATGATAAGACGATCGTATTCACTCTGCCCAGGAAATCTAACCCGACGCCACCATCTAAATAACCTTCAATGAATTTAAGACAGCTCACCATCCACCTCAGGATGGCGGACCCTATGGCCAGCCCGAAATAATACGACAGTTGCCGCTGCAGTCACTTTCACAACGCAGATCCCATCACCCATAGCAAACCAACCCGTCAAGCCATGCGACGGTACGGGGTACAGAATCTTTCTTGAGGTACAAGTGGGAGGAAACGGCCACAAGACCATTCGGCGCTAAAACTTGTCATGCAGGCTTAAGTCTATAATATCAACAGATATATCTCAGTTTGTGTCCCAAGCGCCCATCTGACCTACTATGATACCGATGGGCTGCCAGGGCTTGAATCATACCCCCTGCTTGTGCTGGGTGTCCTTGTTACCCTCTGTTCCAATCATTTGAAAGGTACTATTTTGGAACTGGCATGTATGCTCGAGAATGATATCTTCGGTATCGATGTGGGGGTCTGGGGGATAAAATGCCATATATTTTCTCTTTTAATAAACAAACAGGTACCAAATTTGAAAAATGTCAATATTAGCTCATTTTTGAATACCGACAAGTCAATGGGAGTGAATTAGTTCAAAATTTGGGGTCAATTTTAAAGATAGATACATAAACAAGCGCGGAGACTCAAAATATATAGCCAGCGAAAACATCGATTAAGAGACCCAACAAAACAAGATATGTGCCAAAAAGTTACATACAGCCAAAAGGAACTTATCTACAACATGTAAAAGTAATAAAACAAGATTAAGAGCTCGGGAGCTTGGAGCTGTTTGAGCATAAAGCACCAAACCAAGTATGCATAAGTAGGCTAACAAAGACAAAAGTCAAGAGTATCTATCCATGGATGAAAAACCTAAGCCTTGGTAAAAAATAGTATATTTGAAATAAACTAAAAGACCTCGCTAAGCTTAACTTGACAAAATAAGATGAGAAAAAGAAATTCACCCGTCTTCAGTGAGGATGTACAAAAGCAAAACGCCAAAAAAATGGACTCGCGGGGAATCGAACCCCGGACCACTCCCATGCTAAGGGAGTATTATACCACTAAACCACAAGCCCAATTTGATGGAGGATGCGAGCATCTAATGCTATATGAACGGAAAAAAGGGTTTCCTCAGAAAAAATTACAAATATGGTGCTTCACCAATGAAAGGGCTACGATGTTCCATACTCCCCGATCGGGATTGTCAACAACGATATTGTTGTAGTACTAGCCGTGTCTAGTTGGACTACAACCCTAAGTCTAACAGTCAAATGGCAACTTCATCACATATAAATGGCACTTAGGAATCATAATCAAGCCGGAACAGTGGAACTGGGAAGGTGTGATGTGATGTAAGGAGAGGCCGATCTCAATGTTAGCCTCGTACCGTTTTTTTTTAACAAGGAATAAATATTCATAATATACTACTAAAGAGAATATTCCTATGGCATATGCACTGGTTAATCCAAACACAAAATGGCAATGTGTGGGATGAGTATGTACATGGAGCAGGGGAAGAAACAGCTTTATGAGACACTCTCTCGCAAAAGACCAGACATGTTTCAATTCCTCATCACACGGATTGATAGACACTCAGAAAAGGGGTATGGAGGAATCGAAAAATCGCACAAGGAAAGAAAAAGTAATCGAACCTGTCGAATCGCTAAAGTTGATAGATGAAGTATGGTGTGAAACACATCCCGAAGACCAAGAAGAAAAAAAAAAAGGGCCCGCCGCGTGCAAATAAATATTGATATGTCGATTCTTCTCATGTGCTGCTCCCAAATCGGTTTGTCAGCCAACTGGTGAAACCCCCTCCACTGCTACCCTCACTGCGGCTGGACCGTCGGTTGCTAGATTGCACCTCATCCGGTGTAGGGGACCGGCGTGGTGAAATCCGATTGTGCAATGAAGACAACGAGGATCGACCACTGCGTGCGGTGCGAGCAGAACTGTGACGCCGTTGGGATCTCGATTGGTCAGGACTATCTTGGATCACTACCGGATTCTCACAGGTGCCTTCTCCGCCTCTGTGGAATATACTGTCAGGTGAAAGTTCTCGGTTTGTGCATATAGCCCATAGAGACTCACGCTGTGTTTGAATTAATACTACGCCGGCAATGCGGACAAGTATCATGTTGGGTCAGCCATGCATGGATGCAGTTGAAATGAAACCAGTGCGTGCATGGTAAAACTGTGACTTCCAAGCCGAGTTCAACATTATCCATGCAAATTGAGCACACTGCTTTCCCTTCAGATCCCATCATCTCTTCGTTAACCTTTTTCTTCGGCAAAGCTTGAACGGCAGCATCAGATGCTGGCGGTGCTGCAGTGCTGGTCCCTCCAGTATTCTCAAGCAGTTGTGAGATGACTCGGTCGAGCTCCTGTTGCGAATATACTGCATCCCCGTTTCGACTCATGTTGAGAATGGCGGACAGGATCGAAAGAGCATGTGGACTTGCCAGGCCACGAGCTCCACGAGAGCTTCGCATGGTTTGTACCCCAAGGTCCGCGCGAATGGCGTCCATGATTCTAGATTCTGATCAGTCTGCAAACAATCAGAACAGATAGAGCCATTACATACTCATTTATATCCATCGGATTGCGGTTATTAGGTTGCGGTGCATCTGTATTGCGGGGAGATAGGCCTGGGTGATAGCCTCTGAGGTGGTCGTCTTCAAGCCAGTCGGGAGAGGTAGAGGATTGAGGATGGAAGGGGTCCTCTCCGTATCCCCTATATCCACGAGGATTTGGCTCCATTAAATTTTGTAGAATTGTATCGAAGCTTTGCATCATCATCGGAACCATAGGGTTCGGGCCATTGTTGCGCTGACTAGAAGCAGTTCCAGTGTCAAGTGTCGCGCTGCTGAAGGAGAAACGGCCGTCGGGTGATCTATATGTGCGCAAGGAGGTGAATGGAGGAGTGCCACTTCCGAGAAGCCCAGGGGCTTGCCGTTCTTGTGTGTCACGTTCCCAAGGATTGTGATCTATCCACGGGTTGGCGCGTGAAGGCGACGGGGAATCGGCACGGTGTGAGGGGGAACCTTCGGAAGGCAGTTCTGGAGGAATCTCAATCTAGAGGAATAGATAATGTTAGAATTAAATCAATCAAGAGAGAAAGCATTCACTGTACTATTTCTGTGAACTCGGATTCACAATACGGGCATGTCAAATCATCCTCCTTTGTCCAAACCCTGCCACAGGCATGGCATAACATGCGGTCGCTGCTGTCCATGTCGCAATACAGACTGATAATGACCTAAAGAGTCATAAGATGTTGTACAACGCAGATGTTAGGATTGAAGCTGATAGAATCGATAAGCACCAGAGCAGTCACGAGTCATGGCCTTATCTGCGGGGAGTGATCACAGTTGGCTAGATGACCATCATAAAAAAAAGATTATTGGACAAAGAAGAACAGGAAGTGATGGAGGGGTTAATGTATCACACACGTGGCAAGGTAACGTGTTAGAACAAAGAATAATCGGAAGGGATTACTTGATTTAGTGAGCCTTAAGAGGCTCTAGAGAGGTTGGGAGGTTGGCTGGAAAGAGGCAATGACGTTGATCAGCAATCGCCTCCATAGCCTCAAAAAGGCAAAGGGAACCACCCGTGGACTTATACCCGAGACTACATGTATGAAACAAAAAATATCCACGTTTCATATATACAAAAATAAAAGATCATGCATCAGGCAGCCCTATTCCCTGTTATTTAACATTGGGTTTCATATCGGGGAAGTTTGTTGCGACGCAAGGGCAAGAGGGGCAAGGTATACAGCCCCGTATAATCAGAGAAAAAAAAAGGTAAAGAAGCAATCCTCTTTTTACACTGGAATAGACATTAAGACTCAATCATATGATCAATTCATAAAGAAACTAGTACAAAGTATATAATAAACAGCAATAAATGGTCACTTTTTCCATGCAGGGATACAAATTCCTCGCGATCATCTCATCCCTGCCAAATGCAGTGGGGGAGTGAACTGAAAAAAGAGACAGCAATGGATATCACAGGAATGATGCAATTGAACCGGTAACCTCAAACACCCCGATGAAAAGACGGATGGCAATATCGAGCAGTTTACTTAATCTCGAGGAGCTTGACGTCGAAGACAAGCTTAGAGTTGGCAGGGATGCCGGGGAGGGCCTTCTTGCCGTATGCGAGAGCAGGAGGGATGGAGATGCGACGCTCACCACCGACAGCCATGCCGGCGACACCGATGTCCCAACCCTTGATGACTTCGCCCCTTCCGAGCTTGAAGGTGAAAGGCTTGCCCTTCTTGTTGGAGTCGAAGACCTTGCCGTCCTCGAGCTTGCCGATGTAGCGCATAGCGACAGTGTTACCGCTCTTGGCAGCAACACCCTTTCCAAGCTTCTTATCGTCCAGCTTGACGCCACGGATCTCCTTAACGCCGAGAGTGCCAGTGGGCTTGTCGCCGGAGGGAGTAGGGCCCTGCTCGAGGTTCTTGGCGAACTGGACCTTCTTGTCGGTCTTGGCCTCCTTCTTGTCATCCTTCTTCTCCTCCTTCTTAGCATCCTTCTTAACATCCTTCTTGACCTCCTTAGGCTCAACAGCGGCGGCATCGCCGTTGTTCTTCTTGAGCTTCTTTTGCTGGGCCTTGGTCAAGGCGGGCTCCTCAGCCTTGGTAGACTTGGCCTTGTTGGCCTTGGCCATCAGATCATCCAGGGTGACTTCATCCTCGGCGGCGCGCTTGTTCTTGCCCTTCTTGGACTCAACAAGCTTAGGGGCCTCCTCCTCACTCTCGACCTCGGTGATTCTGGGGTCCTCAATGTCATCAAGGTCATCGCTCTCATCATCATCCTGCATGGCCATAAGCTCATCCATGTCGAGCTCATCCTCATCGGGAGACAGGTCGTAGTCATCCTCGTCCTCATCATCGTGGTCATGGTCATGGTCGTGGTCGTGACCCTCATCGAGACCAATGACGTAGTTACCAGTCAGGAAGACAGTGTGGTTACCAGTGACCTTGAAGAACACGGGCTCACCCTCGCAGACAGTGATATCCAGAGGCTGTTGGTAGATCTGTAGGGGTATTAGACGTCAATATTCAACAAGTGGTGAAACCAAATAGGGTGTTGTTCTTACCTGGCTGGGGCTGAGGGTGCAGATAACGTTCTCATCGAGCTCCAGACCCTCCTCGGACTCTGAGTCCTCATCGTCAAGGGCAGGGCCCTTACCCTTGATGAGCTTAGAGATGGCAGCCTTCAGGTCGAAGTCCTCATCATCATCCTCCTCATCATCATCTTCCTCCATGGCGTCCTCGAGGTCCTTGAGGGCAGCAGCTGCCTTAAGCTTGCGGGCCTTCTCCTTGTCACTAGGGCCACCGTTGGACTCCTCCTCATCGGATTCCTCCTCCTCCTCATCACTGTAGTCCTCATCATCCTCGTCATCCTCGTCAAGGTCAAGACCGGGAGGAGCGCGAATAATCTTCAGAGTGGAGCGGGAAGGCTTGCTTGAGTCCTGGTCATCCTCGAACTCTGGGGCCTCATCGGGATCGATAGCGGCCATGCTGATGCGGAACTAGATTCAATGTTAGCATAAGCCATCAAGTAATTGATCATCACAGCAAGACTGACCGAAGCAGCAGCGTTGGGAACTGCTTGAACCATGGCACCGGGAGGAACCCGGAGCGCATAGACTGCGACAGGCTGAACGGCAGACATTGTGAATAATTAGGATAGATTGAGGGAGGTGAAAGAAGATCAAATTCAAAAAGAGAATGAACCACGTGGAAAAGGATGTGGATGGAGGGAAGAAAAGAGAAGAAAAGAAAAGATGCTCCCAAGCAACAAATGCGGCAAAAAATTGGAGAAAAAAAAATCGATCAATGAGATCAACGAATCATTCACCGCTGGTGTGTTGCCACAGGTGACCGCTTTCCAAAAGCTTGGATCCACGTGATGATTACCGAGCTTCGCGCGAAAGGGCATGGATGTTTCCCTCTTTCGTCTTTATACTGTCTTATTGGTCATGATGGTTGTTGTAGCCCAAAATGGGCTCCCGTCATGAGATAAATTCTAGTGCAGTGCGCAAACGCATTGAAAATCGTACGTTCAGTCCAAATATCAGTCCCCGCTCTTATCTGACTGTGTCTAGATGACTTCAATGATGAAGCAGGAGAGGAATATGAGGCCTCCAGCTTCGGCGGGTTTGGGGACTATATGCGCCGGAAAAAATTGAAGTTACAGAATCTTGACGCAGAAATTCGAGCATCAGCTGGCGATTGCCCCCCAATATTCCGTGGTGTAGTTGCCCATGTCAATGGGTACACTCAACCTTCTTTGCAAGACCTGCACCGTTTGATTGTCAGCCATGGGGGTGGCTTCCTTCAATATTTAGATGGCAAAACTACAGCCACTCATATCATTGCTAGTGCTCTGACACCCAAGAAGCGTGAAGAGTTCCGCCGCTACCGCATAGTGAAACCTACGTGGGTGACAGACAGCATCAAAGCAGGACGTCTACTGCCATGGGATGAATTTAGAATAGTAGACGAAGGTCAAGCACAGAGGGTGCTCAAGTTTGACGATGGCCGGTTTACCAGCCAGACAAATACCCCTCGCACAGGTTACAAAGAACAATCAAGGGCTAGTTGGTATAACTCTCAGCTCCGAGATATGAGCACAACTGAAGCAGGTCTCGACTCTTCGTTAAAGCCTCTGATCCCATCTACGCGGTCCAAGGCCCCGCAGATGGTCACACCAACCATGCCGAGCCAATCATCCCAGTCAGACTATGGTGACTTCCCTAGCTTTACTATGGAGAAAGAGGAGGAAGTTCATGATCCTCAGTATCAACAAGAGACACCAGCCAATGATGTAACACAATTTACAATCCCACAACAAGCTCCCAACTCCGACCAAGTGCCCACTTCACCAGATCCATTGGTTGACCTCGAGTCAACCTCGCCTCTCGACCAAATAAGTCCATCAAAACCCGCTTTGACCTCTGAAGAGTACAATGCACAGCTCCTTTCCGACCCAAGGATGCAGAAGTCCTCGGTTGTCAATCCGGAATTCCTGCAGCAGTATTATAGAGAGTCTCGCCTCCATCATTTGTCAACCTGGAAGGCGGATTTGAAAGCCCAACTGCAGGCCGCAACGAAGGAAAATGCACAGTCTCAGATATCGAAAAAGAAACCCTTCCCTGGATCAAGACGGTACATTCTACATGTCGACTTCGACTCATTCTTTGCGGCTGTCTCGGTTTTAAAACGCCCCGAGCTCCAAAACAAGCCGGTTGCTATCGCCCATGGCTCTGGAGCAGGCTCTGAGATTGCTAGTTGTAATTATCCTGCACGTGCTCAAGGTGTTAAGAATGGGATGTGGATGAAAGGAGCTTTGCAATTATGCCCCGATCTCAACGTCCTGCCGTATGATTTCCCTGCCTATGAAGATGCGAGTCGCAAGTTCTACACCTCGATACTTGCTATTGATGGTACGGTGCAAAGTGTAAGTATCGATGAGGCTTTGATTGACGTCACAAATCTATGTTTGGAAGCTGGCGGCTCAGATGGAAAGACTATATCAGAAGGATCAATTTATCGCGAGCAAGCGAAAGCGGATGAAATTGCCCAAGCTTTACGCGATTCAATCAAGGAGAAAACCGGATGCGCAGTCTCTGTCGGAATTGGCAACAATATTCTGCTCGCAAAAGTGTCTCTCAGAAAAGCCAAGCCTGCTGGGCAGTTTCAATTAAAGCCAGATGCTGTTCTGGACTTTATTGGAGATCTCACAGTTCGCGATCTTCCTGGAGTGGGCAGTAGCATGGCAATCAAACTCGAAGAGCTGAGTGTGAAGTTTGTCAAAGACCTCAGAGATCTCCCAAAAGAGAGACTGATATCTGCCCTGGGACCCAAAACTGGAATTAAATTATGGGAATACGCTCGCGGAATTGATCGAACCGAAGTCGGCGATCAAACGATGAGGAAATCTGTTTCGGCCGAGGTAAACTGGGGGATTCGATTTGTCAATCAGGACCAAGCAGATGACTTTGTGCGTTCTCTGTGCGAGGAGCTGAATCGAAGATTGATGGAAAATATGGTGAAGGGAAAACAGCTCACCCTAAAGGTCATGCGTCGATCGATGGACGCTCCTCTAGAACCGGTCAAGCATCTCGGCCATGGAAAGTGTGATACATTCAATAAGAGCGTCGCTCTTGGTGTTGCGACCAATGTACCAGAAGTCATTGGGAAAGAGGCAATATCGATGTTGAGAAGTTTCAACTTTTCGCCTGGAGACTTGAGAGGTCTTGGTGTACAGATGACCAAACTCGAACCAATCAAGTCTGGCCCTTCAGGGCCCGAGAGCAGCCAGCGACAACTGAAATTCCAGAAATCTCCACCTCGCGAGAAAGTCATTTTAAATGCAGACCCTGACGAGCTGGAGAGTCCGCAGAAAGATGACTCTGTTCGTATTCAAGCGGATCCAGTACTCAGCGATAGTGCCCACAAGCCACTCAACATCTCGGGGTCTCAGTTTATCATGCCCACTCAAGCAGATCCCAAAGTCCTTGCCGAGTTGCCTACGGATATCAGATCAAGACTCGTTGCACAAGCAAAGCCGCGCCAGGATCCTCGCTCTGGCTCTCCTTGTCCTCTCCCGCGTGAAGCACGACAGCCTGTCCAAGCAGACCTTCCCCCGCAGTCCCAGCTTGACCCAGATGCATTGGCGGCTTTGCCTGAAGATGTCCGCCAAGAAGTATTAGGATATTATAACCACCCAGCCACTAACGTTGCGCCGCCGCTGGCGCCGGCCGTACCAGAGTCGCGCCCATCAACCTCTAGCTCTCTCAAGCTGAGAAGACCAGTCTCGCCACCAAAAAAGAGGCGTGGTCGCCCACCCAAGTCGGCGACGACTGCGAACAAGCCTAAGCCCAAGCCTCTGGATCAGTCAAGCTTTGGATTCGTTCTTTCACGCCCAGCGGCTGTATCTGCTAGTTTGAATGAAGAGGCTTTGTCTAGACAAGTGTCACCAAATGTCGAAGAGCCAGCCGAAGCTTCAGCCGAATTCCTTGCTGCTCTACCTGAAGATATCAGACAAGAACTTCTTGAAGAACAACAACGCTCCCGCATGCAACAGCGCCTGCGAGCTACTGAACCTGCACAAAGACCTCCATCTCGGGCACAGGAGGCTCCTCCTGCACCAATTGCCGTAGAAAAACTTTTACCTCTACCGCCACTCCCCAAACGTCCCGTATTTACATCACAGCGTCTGTCCCAGTTACCAGATCTGCGAGATGCTGTTGGCTCATGGCATGAAGTCTTTGCAGATGGCGGCCCGTACGGTGATGACGTTACTTCGTTATGTAAATATCTGTCCAGTGTGATATTGCAAGAGAAGGATGTGGACAAAGCTGTTTCAGTGGTGCGTTGGCTGATGTGGTTGGTCGGTGATCATTCGCAGCAGCAGGCGCCTAAACAGCCACAAGGGTCCCGACCCGAGGGAACTATAAGCTGGGAAGAGGCTATAGAGAGCATGCAGTATAGTGTACAGGTGGCTCTAGAACAGAGAGAGCTCCCTCCGGTGGACTTTTTGTAAATTATACCCAAATGTTAAACTTAACATCGTTGACTGTATATACCTAACTGAGCCCACAAAGGTCAATAATTTATGCAAGATCTGCATGCATACATTGTAAACATACCTAGGTGGTACTTATGTACGAATTGGACAAATTCTGAAAGAGAAGAAAGCGAGAAAAAAAAGATCAAATAAAGTATTGAGAGGCGAAGATGACATGAAGATGAGGCGCAGATCAAGGTGGAGCCGTGGTCCACGGGTACGGCCCACATCTGTCAATCTTCTACCCCGTACGGAGTATATTCGCTGTGTTTAGACATTGAACCCATCATGCCGCCTGTCACCAACGGTCAATTCTCCTTCAATGTCGACACATTCTATGTCGCCGCGTCGGGAGGACAAATCCACCGCCGTGCAGCGCCAGCTGAGATAAAAGCTCTTTACGATACCTCGAGGGCAGACAAGAGCACACCGGATCACCCAGGCCATTGGTATGAAGCACAGCTCCTTCACTATGGCCTGCCACCGTCAAAGGTCAAGGCTACTGCTAAGATAAGGCTCTTGAAAGCCGTGCAAGATGGCGCCCTGAGTGTCCCCAAGGAAAGCCTACAAATCGAAAAGAATCTGAAGAAGGAATGGAAGAAACAGGATTCAGAGGAACTGCCACAGGCAAATACCAAGATCACAACGACGAAGACTGTTACTACCAAGACTATCACAGTTTCTAAGACGGTTGCGTGCAAAACCACTGAGAGCAATACTACTGCATCCAAAGCCGCGGCTAAACCTGCGGCGACGAAGGCTGCTGCCAAAAGCGCAGCTGCCAAGCCAGCTACGCCTCAAACTGCCCCAGCCAAGAGAAAGAGGACCTCGAATGACGAGGAGACAGCTAATCAACCACAGACTGCCAAACGCCGCGTGTATGGCAAAAAGGCCCAAGACAACACGAATGACCCCAAGCCGAGCGGATGGCCTGAGCAGCCTGAGTATCAGGATGCGCCTCCCTCGTATGAATTCGCCTGTGGAATGGTAAATCTCCCCCCCAATTCACAAACACAAAGGGCACGTAGCTAACCCACCCGAGTAGAACGGAGAACATCCTTACGATGCATTAGATGAACAGATGAACATTGACAATGCGAGCTGGTTCAATGCATACTCAGACCCACCATCTCCACCCCGAACCCTGAAACACACCCTGGGCCTACTCAACGGGACGTACAAAGTTCGTTCCTCTGATATTGAAGACAGCTGGCCACACGCTATACCATCTGACGGGATCACCTTATCCCTCCGCCTTAATGGACGGGAGATTTGGGGAGCATACGAGTTCGGGATGTTTGAGGGTGTACTGTGGATGCCAGAAAGACCCATGAGGCCCTCCTTTGGTAGGATTCCGTTTAAGTGGCGTGGACGGGAGACTGGTGAGGGTGAAATGAGCATTGAAGATGACCAGGAAGGTTGGATTGAGTTTTTGGGTGATGGTGATATTGTTGGGATGATCAGCTGCTACGGAAATCAACATTTCCGAGGTCAACGGATTGATAGTTTTGTCCGGACAGCTAGTGATCTGCGTGATGAATGGGATGGCTACAATGAAGAGGAATATGAACGAGAGAGAAGGAGTCGGTGGGGTCGGTGGTAAATTGTGAATGCTGGCGAATGAATATCTCGTTTCAATGATTCCCAGGTGGTCTCCGAGGAATATGGACGAAAGAGCAGGGCCTGGTGGGCCGGGTGATATATCGTGAAAGCTAGCTAATGGATATCTTGTCTTAATGATTCCTAGATGGTCTATTTGACCCTAGTTCAAGCTAGTCTGGCAAAATCCTCCCTGGATGGAATAATGATCACGGGTGATACCGCATTAGGAAGGTCAGCAATGGTGAAACTGGCCAGGGTTTCGATCCTCACCAGGAGTAGTTGGGACGGATAATCTTTTTTTGCTCCTTTCCTATATCAGCCCTTTACCATCAGAATCTCTTCCCTTAGCTTGTATCGGGGTATAGTGGTGGAGTAGCTCTATCTAACAGGAGATTCTAATATCATATAACACTCATATTGCTTTAGTTTCTCTTCTATTGCACCCACCTCGAGGAGATACAATGCACTGTTAGCATTCTTATCAACTTGACACTAGGGGTTACAAGCAACACCCTCTGTCGGTATCTATATTTTTGCTATATATACTGGAAAGCCAACTATAATAACGTCCCTGACCAACGTTCTATGTACAGGCTTCACTCAAAAGTTAACCAGCTGCGATTCTACTGACGAACGAATCCGACTGTCCGGCCTGTAACAGACCAAATATTCCAGAGCATCCACACCGCGGAGAGTTTAGGCCCAGGCGCCAACGATACTCATGCAGAAAGCACCCAAGAATACTAGGATGCAGGCATAAACTCTTCTCTTCCCACGAAGAATGCGCCAGCTCTCATCACTGAGAAAGTCCTCCGACATCAACTCCACAAGCGAGGCAAAAATCAGAAGTCCAGCTGAAATGGCATTCATGACGCCGACAACAAGTAGACCGACCTCCGAGTCGGGGCTGTAAAGTGTATGGGTTGCCAGGCCAATAGCCTGCCCGATTGGTGTTCTGGACCTTGGTCAGCACCATTGAGTTTAAAGTGAGTGGGAGTTAACTTACGTGCATCCATACGCAAGGGACATGATCCAAGGCTGGAGTTGCTTCTCTGACCAGGGAAGCGAGGCAATACGGGATCCAAGAGCCAGACCTTCAAATGTTTCTGTAGTCGATTTAGTCAAATGCACTGCTCTGATTAAGCATATGGACATGGAGAACTCACGATGGAATACAATGGCAATTAGTAGAATCACAAATTCACTGCCAACCGACACACTGAGTGACATGCCGATAAACACGCTGTGGAAAAGAATGCCCATCTCAAGAAGGTAGACCTGCATGGTCTCTTTTTTCTGCTTCTGCTCGGGGGTTAAGGCGAAGGTATCGTCATGACGCTCCACATCTGTCTCGATAGCCCCATTATCCTTCTCGTGATGAGTTCGAATATCAGGCGCAGATGAAACTCGAACTATGTCTTCAGTGCCTTCACCCATGCGATTGATAGCTCGGCTAATGCTCGCGGACCTTCCAATTAGCGGACCCATATCTCGCAGATGAGATCGGCCATCCATTCTAGCGGCGTGTGAGATCGGCACCCTAGTGTGCTTGGGGTATGCAGGGACATCAAGGGTTGGGATTGGAGCAGCTGTCCTGGAAGCTGGCTTTTCGGCTGGCACCTGGTTCCCTCCACGGCAGATACTCTGGGCTGGACTGAATACCATTTCGATGACCGTGACGAGGAATATACCACCCAAGGCAATGGCACCCGGCATGGCAGGGTAGTCCTTTGTCCAGAAATTAGATAGACATGGGTCTCCCAGCGAAGTAAACGCCGTCGGAAGGAGATGCACAAATGCTGTGGCGATGAGGACACCGGTACCGAAATGGGTGACGAAAAAAAGGAATGCGGGTGGGATATGCATTCGTGGGAATCGAGTTGCAAGGATGGGGAATGCGCACGCAATGCTCGAAGTGGCTAGGATGATGAAGAGGGCTGCAACGTGTAGAGGTAGGTCGTATGCACCGCGGGTACCTCCCTGAGCACAACTTGATCGTTTGACTGGCTCCGTATACTGCTGTGTAGCAGGTGCTTCCAGTATGAGAGGTTGTTTAGATGTGAAATACTGCTTCAGACTACCGAAGGAGATGACTGCCGAGACAAGAAGCACGGAGAGGAGCCATAACGCCCAATCCTTGATACTTTGGTATGATGGAAAAACATCTTTATTTGGATTAAGCCCTGTGTGGCCAATTCCAACATGAGTATTTTGGGGAGCGAGACGTCCTGCTCACTCGTTAGAAGGTTATTGTTTAAAAATATATGCTTGCTGTTCATACCTGACATTGTCAGGGACGCCTCGCACCCCGGGCTAAGGTAATTCCCTGCATCCTTTTCCTCTAGCGGAGGAATGCCCTTCCAATTAGAACTTCCCCCCAGAGTGCCTGGGCCAGAATCATCGTCTTTGTTTTCACGGGTGTTTGAAATGCCATTGAGGTCTTGGCGGGTGGTCAGGTCGGGAGAGAGCAAGCGCGGGTTCTGATTCCACCCATCGTGCAGTAGGGTGTCGTCAGTCCGAGATGGGCAATTCATGATGCTTTGATATTGAACCGTGCTTTTAACTGACTATCTGGACTCAGTGTAACAAGTGAAAATAATCAATTCGCCCCCATGGGCTTAAGGCAGCACCGATCCCGAGGGCTTGGCATTGGGTGGACTCCGGCCCGATTTTTCTTGGCAATGGACCATCAACTATCGCCGTGATTCGCCCAGACAACCTATTCGATCCGGTATTGGCCGAACCGTGAATCCCTGGGGCAAGATGCTTGCGTTGCAAGCACGAAGAAATCTGCGATATGGAACCGAGGCTACCAAAACGTAACTTTAGACAAAGGGGCCCCAGAGCTTTAGGTCTGGCGCGGCCCCGGGGCTGATCCAAGATTACCAATGGATCAGTAGGACCTTGGGAGAAACAACAGCCGGGGGCCAAATTCAGGTTGATGGGTATCTCTCAATTGATATAGGAACTATGTGTTACAAGAGCACAATAGTATACATTGGTATTCGTATCACTTTTCTTCATGATCATTTTGCCCAGGGAGCCTTGGTATGCACATCGGCATTTCCAGTCTGTGAAGGCGAAGGCCGAGGCTGAGCAGACCAAGGGGCTCGGGTCGGTGCCATGGGGCCTGGAGGCACCCTTGAAGTATCTGGAAGAGCAGAGTTCCCTCTGCTCGCACCACTAGGCATCGAGTTTGGAATTCCCTCTCTACGCACCCCAGTCCATGGGGCTGCTGTCGAGGCCATCGGGGGAACAGCCTGCGTGCCTGCCCCGGACTTAGCCCAGGGAGCCTGGGTGCCACTCCCAGGTATGGGACGGGAAGCGGCAACAGAAGGGTGGCCAGAATCCGGCGCAACAGGCCGTGCCTGAGGACCAGATGTGGCATGGACTGTGGAAGGGGGCAGAGGCGCATTTGGATCACGGTCCCAGCTGAACAGAGACCCGAAAGAGAAGTGCTGTACCACGGGGAATTTTGAGAGCACTTCCGCGTTGTACATCTTGATCATTCCCTGGTGTAACCTGTCAGCGAGAACATCCCCACAGATTATCAAGACTGCGAACCTTGTTGATCTTGCCCCAGCCAGCTCGAATGCCAGAAATATCGAACAACATGGGGCTGTGCTCCCAGAATGGGCCTCTCTTCACATCATAAATGAATCCGATAGCGGAGAAATAGAGATTAGTTTGGCGTTCCCTTTCAACAACTTTTGCATTGGCAACCCCACCCGGGTCGGGTGCATTGGGTAGTGAGCCTTCTTCAGGAGTTAGGTCAGTATCATTGATTGCAGGTGATAATTGTGCAGATCCAAAGATATAAGGGGCGAAGGAGTGATCATCAAGACCCCACACGCCGTGGGAGCCAGCAGGCTCGAGGTTGTATGTCTTAATAAGTAGTCTGATAAGCTCTAGGTATCTATGTGACGACAGTCAGTAAGGGAAAAAGCATATCTGGCGTGGTAGATTCTTGGGAGACGCACGGGTGGATGATTCCGATGACGATAGCTCGTTCCTCCACGCCTGGACCGGCGTTGGGAAATCCATTCAGCTTCCATATTCCACCCAGGAAAGCCAGGAAGCTCAGTTCATGCCCAGTACCATAGTCCAATCGCTGGCCACTTCCCCAGCTGCCCAAGAAGTACGATTTCAACTCCCTCTCCGCCGTTGCGCCCTCATCCGATAATTTCCTATCCAGGAGGTCGGCCGGTAGGCATTCCTTCAGAAGGTCGGATGCGCGACTTTCGACCACTTCAGACCATCTCCGAAAGCTTATATTTCCAAACCTCCGCGGGCCGGTATCTGGTGGAACCTCCTGTATGATATCTTCGAGTCTCGAGAGAAGTCGCTGCAATTGTCGGACCGGAGCAGAGTATTGTATCGCATCGCTGTTGATAGTCCAGGTTTGTAGAGTGTCATCGGATACCTTTACTGGAAACATAGATCGGTTGAGTTGTAGTATCCACGTCATGATATCAGTATAGGCTTTGGAGGTTAGGAAAGTCGATACATCTTGTGACTCGTGGATCTTTTTGCTTGGTTCGATAAAGGCGTGCGGTGTAGAGTCCAAAGTGGACAATACACGAAAAACTGGGTTAGCCATGTTTGCTGAATGAGAAAATCCGAGGTTGGAGTGAGATGAGGGAAAGAAGGTTGGAGGGGAAGCGGGATGATGTTATTTGCGGCTCCACTAGAGCTCTTCCCTTACCGCGTCTTGTCCTCTTTTTTTTTTAAACTTCCCCACGCGTTTTCGAGAAGATGGCGCCAAAAAGATCCAATCAATCTACTGACTACAGTCTTGGACTCTTGAATAATATCAATGTACTCGGGCGCGACACCGTGAAAATACAGGACCCCAAAAGGCGCCGCACCACCCATGCCGATGTCTTTGATCTTCCTATTTCCCCCTCCCCGACAAAATCTCGGAAGACCCCTCAAACCGAACCAAAAACTACAAGCCGGTTGAATTTGCGAAACCGTACGGTGCTTAGATTCACGCGACCGACTCCACCTCCTAACGTTTCCAACAATGAAGAAGACAACGGGCTAAGCAACGACGAATCCGGGTCAGGCGATAGCGAGTCCGAATTAATTCAACATGGTCTCAGTGGCAGCGGAGAGGAAGAGTTGTATGATAATCGGGACGAGCTTCAGCGTCAGGCTGAACATGATCCGTTTCCCGAACCAGTCGATCTGTTCCCAGCTGAAGATGAGGATCAAGCTGATGATCAGGTTGGATACGAAGCTAGAAATGCACAAGCAGATGCATCTAGAGGCGGATACGAAGATGAAGCCGAAGAAGAGATAGATACTGAAGCTGGAGAGGAACCTAGGAACGCACAAGACGATGCATCTGGAAACGGATCTGAATATGAAGACGAAGAAGGGGCAGATGATCAAGCTGGAGAAGAAGCGATAGACGCGCGAGACAATGCGTCTGAAGACGAATCCGAATATGAAGATGAAGAAGATGCAGAAGATGCAGAAGATGAAGAAGATGAAGAAGAGACAGGCGATCATCCTCTAGCTGAGGTCCAGAATCATTCAACACCCACCCAGCAGATCACAATTGCAGACGCTCTCGAGGCGCAAATCCTCGAGAGTGTACCAATGAACCAAAAGGATAGCATACATATAAGTCGCGTGTCAGCAAATGCTCAAGAATCGCAAAATGCCTCGTCGCAGCTTCAAGAAGTACCAGAGACACCAACAATCCAGTCGGCCCGCCCAAATCAGGACCATCGAAGCACTCGCTCAGATATCTTCACGTGGCTGACCGAGACCACTAAAGAATCCGGCTTCAAGGATACCTGGGAAGCAATCCGCAGAATAAGAAAAGCTCTCAAGGCCCACGCTGATCCCTTCACGAAAGAGCATTTCAGGGGTATCATAAAGCTCATTGAGCGGCTACGAGGTCTGTTCGAAACTATGGCCAAGGATCCTGCTTCAGCTTCTCCCTTGAAAAACCAGTGCAGGCTCATCGCCAACAGCATCTTTAAAGAAAACCAGTGGATCGTTTACACCGAAGCTCCTGAGGATGAAGATGACGGTGCACACCTAGTCAATCAGCTCGAGGCCCATATTGTTCCCCGATTGATTGACCTGATCATACTCGGATTCAAGACCTACAAGACTATAAATGACCAGGGAGCGCGACATTTTTGCATTATCCTGGATTTGCTTTGGGGGTCCTGTGATAGGATATCTTCTCTCGCCCAGATGCATTATGATATTAGTGGGGGCGTGATGGCTCATTCTAAACTGGCGATGCGACACGTGAAGACTCTCAAGGATGCACTAAAAGACGGCCGGCTACGCGAGACACCTCATCGTATTCCCCAACGCCCTCTAGCGTACAGGCAATTTGAGTTGGAAGAGGTCGAAAGCCATATTTCTTGTGGACGGTGGACCTCTGCAGAGAAGAGTGCACTCCGTGATGGGTTACAATTATACGGGGGTAAGAGTTTTCATTTATCATGCTATATGCTATTCTGACGGTATCACCAGGGGAAGATCGATATATCGATATCAAGTGTGACAACACAATCGGCGGCCAACTCTCCGAGCGCATCCTGCAAGATATCCAGGGCCAAGCAGTCAAACTCGGATTGGATGATCGATGACCCAATCAAGAGTTGGGAGGGACATGATTAGGTGGAAGATTGCATTCTGTAGTAGATTTGATTTCATATACCCTTTTGCGAGAATGGAGTTCATAGAGAGAAGATTTTGAATATATCAGAGTACCTAGGTGCTAGTATGGCAGTACAAGCTATGTGGGGTGCCGCGAACCACAAACTGTGAACCACCGGTGTTCGGTTGAATATCCATGGTTGCCAACTATCTTTGCCTCGGCTGAAGCCTTATTATCTTCTTAGGGGTAGTGCAGATATTTTAGTAAAGTTCGATAGGATATAGTTCGATATCGGTGAGATGGCCTGGTGATAGGATCGGGATTTTTGTCTTTGAGCTCCTGATTCTGTTTCTGAGACATCTTGGGTACTAGTACCTACTAAGGTGGTACTACACACGTAGATGAGAAGGTGGCCGGAGCTTTGACTATTATAATGGATACCAAGCTGCAAAGCAAAGAATGAGCATACAAGACTGATCTCGAATCCAGTCAAAATATATATTATATATTATATTTTCAAAATAAAAACAGTAAGACAAAATGCAAGGAGATAATAGTTTACCCCGGATGCACGACCCATTTAGGGGGGTGTCTATAAGAGAAAGAGTACAAAGTATAGAGCAGCGACGATCCCCCCCTCCTAAATTGACACCGCTTTCTCTTTTTCCCGCTTTCCCCTTTTCTTCCCCAAAGCATCTTGACACCATTTGCTTTTGTCGGTTTATTTGCTTTTTTTTTTTACAACTGTGATCTGGACTTCTCTTGGTCTGGATATCAGTCTGCGAGTAACTGTGAAGAATTCACATTGGAACGGTTGTGCGGCGCGTGAGTACATTCTTCTCTTTTCTGCATGTTTGTTTATAGACGGGAGCTTCGGTTGAGCTGCACAATGGCACTTGGTTCTGCTATGTGCACAGCTGGAATACCTTGGGTGACTAGGAAAAGGGGGCTTTATCCTTGTATTCAGCACGCTACAAGCTCCTGGCGAGCTCACTGGAGCTGCAGGAATTCGAAAGCTTAAATCTGGGGTTGAGAGCATACCGGTTGGGCAGTCATGTGTTTAGGGGTTTGAATTTACAACAAGAGCTGGCAACTGACAATGTTTTGCGCAGACAGCTCATTGGTACATGCCAACTGAACCTTACCGCGAACCTTGCCCTCTTTAATACATTAATTCGAACACTCTACCGATATGTCCTCAAACGACGAACCGGTCGTTGTCCCTGCTCCTGTCGAGGTCGATGAAAATGAGCCCCCAGCTACTCCGATAGAGTCCAGCGTTGTCTCTGGAGGCGAAGAGTTTGTTAAGCCCAGCCCCGAGGTATCCAAGGAAAGCCCTGCGGCCTCTCCGGCCAAGGCCAGCCCTGGTGCACCTGGCACCGCGAAGCGTCCTTTATCTTCTGGAACAGCTACCACCAAACGGCCCACCTCATCCTCTGCGTCGAAACCCATGACCGGTACAACCCGCACGACCACCAGCACGCTGAACAAACCTCCCACTCGTCCCCCGACTACAACAAGCACCCGGAAGCCTCTGAGCACCTCGACTGTCTCGTCTCACCGTTCTCGTATGTCAGTCAGCAGCTCAGCAGATGAGAAGCCTCGGTCTGTGGCGAGCTCGGGAGATGAGAGGCGGGGAATCTCTGGTACTGCGAAGCGCATGTCCATGGCTGGAACTACCTCCACCCGTGCTCCTCTCAAACCCACATCGTCTTCCGTCGATCGTAGATCGAGTGTTGCTAGTATCACCGCCGAGAGGAAGCCCGCGACCACAACTGCGCGCACCGCGACCTCGACCTCGACCTCGACGAGCAAGCCTGTGGGCAGGTTGACTTCATCGGCGACACCTGCAAGCCGGACTGCCACTTCCACTTCCACCTCCACCACTAGACCTGCTACTGCTACTGCTCGGCCAACTTCGACTACGAGCACCGTGAGATCTGCCACTGCGACTGACCCTAAGAAGCGACTGAGTACACTTCCTGGCTCAATTTCCCGAGCTGGTGATTCCGAGAAGCTGCAGGCCCTTCAGACTAAGCTCACAGAGAGCGAGGAGACTGTTGCTAGCCTAAAGACTGAATTGGAGACCGTCAACGAGAAGCTCAGCCAGCTTTCTGTCGCGGCCGAACAGCCCTTGGGTGATGCTGGTGCCACCGAGACTATTCGCGCGGATCACACCGCAGAGATTGAGAAGTTGACAGCAGCCCATACCGAGGAGCTCCAGGCCTTGCAAGCGCGACTAGACGAAGCGGAGTCTCAACGGAAAGAGCTAGAGGAGAGCTCGCAAAAGGAGCTGGAGGAAGCTAGACAATCCGCCGCTGCGCAAGGGGATGACAAGACAGTTGCCCTACTTGACGAGCTCAAGTCAACACATCAGACTCAGCTTGAGACCATCGAAAAAGAGCTGGCAGAGCACAAGTCTGCAGCAACTCACTTTGAGGAGCAGATCATTGCCTTGAAGAAAGAACTCGAGTTCCGGAAGGTTGCCCTGGAGGAAGAGAAAGTTCTGGAGCTCGAAAACTTTAACCGAGAACTCAAAGGCTGTGAGCAGCTCATAGAGAAACTCAACACGGAAATTGTTAAATTGAATGCACTCAAGGAGCAGGAGGTCCGTGCCGCGGAGGAGTCTGCCCAGGAGAGTGTCTCTGGTCTTCAAGAACAAGTAGCTTCCCTCGAGGCGAAGCTTGCTGCGGCTGAATCTGCTAGCCAGGAAAGCTCCGAGCAGAACGCTTTGATTGCCGAGAAGGACCAAGAAATCACCGAGCTTAAGCAGACCCTTGAGAAGACTCAAGGCGAGCTCCAGGAGGCACGTGACGCTGCGGCTACTGAATTGTCATCAAAGGTCGAGGAGTTGGAGACTGCTCATGAGGTTGCTATCGCAAGCCTCAAGGCCGAACATGAAGCTGCTATTACTGATATTTCGGCTTCCCACGCGGAGAAGCTCACTGTTGCCATGGCGGCGGCGGAATCGAGTGGGGTAGAGCACACCGCGCAACTCCAGGAACTTCGTGATGCCCTCGAGGCGTCTAAGGCCACTGCCCAAAAGGGACAAGAAGATGCCGTTGCTGAGCTTAAGACAACGCACGAAGCGGAGCTCAAATTGCTGCAAGAAAAGCTGGAGGCTTCCGAGAATGCCCTCGGCGAGTCCCGCCGTGCACTTGATGAGGGTAACGCCTCTGCACAAGACCTTGCCATCCAGGAGATCGACGCTCTTCGACAAAAGTGTGAGTCGCTAGAGTCGCAGCTGACTACTGGCACTGGGAAGATCAACGCGCTGCTTGAAGAGATGCAGAGCAAGCAAGCCGAAGCCGAAGCTATCCACCGCACTCTACGTGATGTTGAAGATCACTCCAAGCAAGAGGGTGTGCAGAAGGACAACAAGATGAAGGCTCTGGAGGAGAAGGCTGCGGAGGCCGTGTTCCTTCTCGAGCAACACACCTTGCAGGCTGCTGGTGTGTCCGAAAAGCACGCACAAGCTTTGGAAGAGTTGAAGGCTGAGCATGCTGCTCAGCTCGCATCCGAATTGGAGCGGGCCAAGGAGGCATCGGGCTCTCATGAAAGCACTCTGAGTGACCTTCAGACGAAGTACGATGATTTGCTTGCTGCAAACAAGGAACTGGAGTCTACTCACGCTACGCGGGTTCAGTCCCTTGACGCTGAATTGAAGGCCGCACTCGAAAACCATGCTCGTGAGATTGCTACCCATACCGAGGGTCGCGAAAAGGAGACCACTGAACTTAAGAATCAATTTGAAGAGACTCAGTCGAAGTTGCAAGCCGAGCTTTCCGCTTTGCAGAATTCCAGCAAAGCTGATGCCGAGATTCACGAACAGCAAATCGCCGAACTGCAAAAGGGTTTTGAAGAGACCAAAGCCAAGCTGCAGGCTGAGATTGAGGCTGTGCAAACCTCCAAATCTGCTGACGTCGATGCTGAGCACAGTAAGGCAATTGCTGAGCTACAGCAGGGATTTGAAGAGACCAAGGCTAAGCTGCAGGCTGAGATTGAGGCTGCTCAAGCCTCCAAGGCTGCTGAGATTGATGCTGAGCATGGAAATGCGATTGAGCAGCTTCTTACTATGCACGAGGTTAAGTTGTCTAGTCTCAAGGAGGAGCTCGAAGCTTCTAACAAGACCAAGATTGACGATCTCCAGAAGGCCCACGATGCAGCTCTAGCCAGTGCCAACGAACAGTTGTCTCAGGCCAAGGCTGCTGCCCAAGACACCTCCGCGCTGGATGACTTGAAGGCCACAGTCGCTGATCTGCAAGCCAAGCTTGCTGACTCTGAGAAGGCCCACCTTGCGATACAGGAATCTGCCAGCACTACTTCTAAAGAAATCGAGGGTCGTTACTCAGCTGAGCTCGCCAAGATCCAGGCTGACCATGCTGCACTTGGAGAAAAGTACCAAGCTGCCGTTGCCCAGGTGGGTGAATTCGAGAAGCTTGCCAAAGACTCGGATAGCCAGAAGTCGCACCTCGAGTCGATTATGAAGCAGCTCTCTGAATCCCGCGACCAACTTCTCAAGGTCAAGGCTGATAACGCCGCAATCTCCGACTCGCTCGTTGATTGCAAGAGCCAAAACAAGACCTTGTCCGAAAAGCTTGAAGCTGGCGAACGTGACCTGAACTCTCAGATTGACAAGAACATGGGTCTCCTCAACCAGCTTGGCGATGTTGATTCCGACATCTCTGCCAGCCGGCGCCGTGTTCGTGAACTCGAAACCGAGCTCGCAGTTCTGAAGGCGGACAATGGCGAGAAGAGCAGCTCTTCGGGCTTGGAGGCTAGCCGGTGGGCGACAGCTGATGAGGGTAGCGAGAACGCTGAAGATGGGGGTCCAGCCACAACGGAAGGTGAGGACCTAGGCCCATCCATTGAGGGAACGGTGGGAGATCCCCGATTGAAGAAGTCTTCCTACTCATCAGATCTTCCCGCATTCCACCCATTCACATGATTATGAAGACTATATTAGCGTATACAGAAACTAATGCATTCCATAGATGGCAAGCATCCAGGAACAGCTTAAGCACATCCGAACGGCCAATGATGATTGGTACAGCGAGCATCACAGGTCAGTCAAATATACGCTCATAAAAAACAAAGATTATGCTGATCCCTCCCAGACTTATTGGCGAACTTGCCAACCTCTCCCGGCAAGCATCCTCCGAGTCTCCTAGTCCCTCGACCACACCCAATTCAGAAGTTCCACCAGCCCTCGAGCCAGAGCCTACTCGCACCCGCGCAGCAACGGTCTCATTTTTCAGTAGACGCTGAGTTTCGCGTGGATTTTGTACCTTTTTGAGCTCTTAGTCGTGATGCAGCATGACTTTCTTTTGTTGAATCCTGTTTCACTCTCTGCTCTTGTGATTCTACTGTATGTAATAACTACGCAGGATACCCTGTCTTACTGTGTCGGGGTTTTCCCACTATTCTTGTTTCAATATCTTTTATCTTACACATACAACTTGTTTGAGTTGAGCTTCGTACCATCCGTTTCGCATTACAAAAATGGTCAGACTGGCCGGTTCTTAAATAGCAAGAGATGTATAACTGGTTTGATGCTTGATTTAAGCATGCCGAAATGGATAATTCAAGTGCAATGCTATGATCGAAAGTCTAGAACAAAGTGGGTATCTCAATACATAAAATAACAATAAAGTACAAAGAACGCCTTTCCCATGTCCCAATATAGTCCGCAAAGGTGGATTGAAAGTCACTCCGAGTCGGAAGCGTAGCTGACCAGCGCTGGTGTTGGTGCCACAGCAGAGGAATCAACTTCTGTGCCACTGGGATCTTCGCGGAGGGATGGAGTTGAAGAGGCAGCGGTTTTCCTCTTCTTGATGCTAGGCTGCCATGCATTCTTATCATCAGCATCCACCAAGAACGGATCAATGATAGCACGAGTATTCCCAGCCAGCTCACGGCGGAGAGAAGCTTTCGGGGTCTCAGCCATATCATCCTTCCTAGGCCTCCTCGAGGAACGAGATTTTTTCTCTCCAGGCCCCGTACTTCCTGCAGGCTTTTCCTCCCGCTGCTCGAACATAGGCCGAAGACGAGTCACCCGGGCAGCATGCGAGCTGAGAGTATTAGGATCCTGCCCAAACCCCACCATACTCGCCATCTGCCGATCCACCTCTGTCTCATCTAAGAGCTCAATCCCAAGACTCATTTTATCCTTAAGAGCCTCACTCTTAGCCTGAGCCTTCTCAAGCCCCTTCCTCTCCTGCCGAAACGTCCTCCGCAACCGCATAGACTTCTCATACGGATCCTCCCAATCCCGATTCTGCCGTTCCTGCAGCTCAAGAATGCGAGCCGCCTCCGTCTTCGCCCGAATCTTATCCTCAACCTTCCCCTCGATCTTCGAAAACGGATCCTTCTCCGCGGGATCAATCTCTCGCGCATACGGCTTGATAGCTATTTCTCCAGGCTGCAGCTCCTTGTCCTCGCCAGTATCGCGTTTCCGTCCACCCTCGGTAACGACATACGCCGTGTTCTGTGGGTCGGTCTTGATCTCGATCGTTCCGCCGCAGACGGTGTGTTTCATGCGGAAGCTGTATATCGGCGTCGAGTAGTAGTTGCCTACTTTTTTCTTCTCTGCGTTGAACCGTACGCCCTGCCCAATTATTATAGGGTGCGGCTTGCAGGTCGTGCACCATACTGCGAAGGGCATCTCGAACCGCACGATCAGTGCGCCTGTTGTGTGGAGGTGGCGGGCGCGCGCGCCGAGTGCGTGCTTTCCGGCGAGTTTGTTGCCTGTTGTTAGGCCTTCTTGGTCCGGGGGGACATATCTATTGGAAGTGTTAGTTGGGGGTTAGGTGGGGATTTGGTTATTTTGCTGACCGTCCCATGTCTATTAAGCGGCATGTTAGTCGGCTGTTTCGCATGTTCTTTGTAGTGGGATCGGGACTTACTGAAGCCCTGCATCTTGGGCGAGTTGTGTAGGTATCGCCGGACCGATGTGGTTGGAGCTCCGAGGGTGTACAGGTTACTGGCCGTGCTCGCAGACAGCCAGTCCGAGTTGACAGTGTTGTAGAAGCGAAGTGTCGGCGGAACTGACTTTGGTCGGAGATAGCGGGATTAAGGTAGATGACTCATCATTGTCTAGGGCTATCCATAAGGCATCTATACTCAGGACATCACCAAAGACGAAAAAAAAGAATAGATACATTATGTAACAAAGTAAATCAAAGAAAAAGCTGGCAGGACAATAACAATGATCATACTTCTAGAATGGTGCATCGACGTGCATCTACCTCATCCTTACAGCGCGAAGCACCATACTTCGTCATACACTCACTCTTCCGAATAACATTTTCGTTAACCAAGACGCTCTACACAGTTGAGAGGCTGCTCCCTTGAGGATTTAAAGCTGATTACTTCCAGAGTCGGTTTGCATCTTCTTTTCTACTTCTCTCTTCTTGTGACAACCCCGTTCTGAGTAACACCAAGCCCACTTCAATAGTTCGAGAGCCTTGCTCGGAAAATGGACCAAGATACGCCCCAAGATACAAAGCACCTACTCTTGGAGCTGCTTCTGGACGACGTGGGCGACAAAATCGACAATTTCGAAGCACAACTGCTGCTGAAGGATACAAACCAGCCAGCCGGTAGGCTAGAAGAAATAGATCCCGATAGGGGGGTGGCACTTCATATATGGAAAGCCGAAATCGAAAGACAAAGAGTCATATTGAGTGACTTTCGCATGGCCACAGCTCTGTCGCTAGGAAGGGAGGCAGAAGAGACACCGTTACCCAAAGAAACAAAGACATTCACCAAACTTATCTCTACCGCTATTCAGAAGCTAGTTCACTCTCTCAAGAACATCATGCGTTCCATCAAAGTCCTGGGTTTGGCCGACTCCCAGCCCGAGGTCTGCACATCCTGTAGAGAAGTCTGCAGCGAAATCTTCAAAACACAATGTTCCCACTTCTATTGCAAGAATTGCTTAATCCGCATGGTCACGAAATCTTTGCAGGACGAATCCTTGTTTCCTCCTCAATGCTGCCACAACCCGATAAAAGGCTCAGGTATGAAGAAGATGATAGGAGCTGCATTGGTGCAAGAACAAAAGAAGAGGGCAACCGAGCTCAGTGATCCGGACCGAACTTACTGTTCAGACTTGACATGCTCTCGATATATCTCGCCAACAACGAAATTTTGGCCGGCTTTTATTTCAAACACAGTTGGTACCTGCAAGTGTGGTGTATGCACGTGCAGGAAGTGCAAGAGGGGTGCCCATGGGGGTAGATATCTATCTCAGCTAGACAAGTCATTGGAGAAATTGATGAAGAGGAAGAGATGGCAACGGTGCACTAAATGCGGCCGTGTGATAGAGCTTCAAGAGGGCTGTCCTCATATCACGTAAGTTCTTTTGTTGGCTCTTCCAAGGCATATAAGGTACTGCGAGGCCTTATACTGAAATCTGGTAGTTGTGTTTGCAGAGCTCAGTGGTGTTACTTCTGCGGGAGGAAGTGGAAAATTTGCGACTGTTAAATACAAGCAAAACGGAAATCCAAACAAACCCTTTTCATGAGTCCAAGCGATTCAAACAGACTGTGTGTATAATACAATGGGGGTTATTCTGACTGAACTTGGTCAAGAGTAAAGTATGTGTGGCTTTGGTACACTTGGCTTGGAGGAATATGGGATCTACTCTGTCAGATATCTGAAATCACTCAATCACTTACATGTTAGTGATGTGTCATTGCCTGATTTTGCTCAAGGCAAGCAAATTGATACCTTTAAATTGCTGTACAACCGAGAAATGATATACTTACAAAATTTTAGGGTTGTACGTAGTACATTACTATGTATGTATATTAGGCACTCTGTAAGCCCAAATAGCCTCAATTTATGTAAACCCACAATTACGTTGAGTATTAAATGACTAGATAGATGTATGACAAAATGATGAGTGGTAGAAGGGTGAAAAAATCAAGTTGACGTTTTATATTAGGAGGTAAGTAGGTTGATGTGTTGATCACCAGCTCTGCTCTTCTAATACCATGAGACATGACGGTATAAAAACCAAAACCTTTGAAAGATCGCTAAAGATACGTCGTTGTGTATTATTTGTGCCGTGAGCCTTGTTTTCTAGGCATTGACGTGGGTATACTACGTCGTATCAACCTCACCACCAACTTACTTTCTTACCCTCTTTTGCAGAAGCTCCAACCTATTCTAAGGAGTCTATCCTTTTCAAAAGTCTTCCATTACGCATATTTGGAGACCTTTATCGCATGGAGTACTATACATATCGAGATACAAGCCTCCAGTCTTACAGGTATTCTTGGTGAACACAACTAGGAGACCAACAAACCGCAAAAGAAAATACAAACAAGGCAACGACTCACCCTTGATGAGATACTAGAAGAAGGATCAGCATGAGCAACGTCAGTATGGGTACAGCTATGTCAATGGGATTAGAGACAGAAAATGACCTGTCCAAGTACAAGAAAAAGAAAACCTCATCCAGCTCCCTCTCTATCGATATTCGAAAACTTGGTAATTCCATCGAAAATGCCATCAACCTAACTGACTCCCCCGAACCTGAGATTTGGCGCGAGTGTGTCTCCTGCCGGGACGACCAACTCCAAGATGATATGATCAAAACGAAGTGCTCACACTTCTATTGCAAGGCATGCTTGGTCCGCCTATTCCAGAATTCTTTGCGTGATGAATCCTTGTTTCCTCCTCAATGCTGCAACAAACCAATCGCAGCCTCGGAAAAGATGCTCGGGTCTGCATTGGTTCAAAAGCACCGGGAGAAAGCGATTGAGGTTAAAGACCCAGACCGAACCTACTGTGCAGATTCGAAGTGCGCTCGATATCTCCCACCAACGGCTGCACGAAATCGGGTTTGCAAATGCGTGGGCTGTGGAGTGCGCACATGCAGGAAGTGCAAAAAGCACGCTCATCAGGGAACTTGTGTATATAAGCTTGATGCGCTTCTGGAGGAATTGGCAAATTCGAAGGAATGGCAACGATGCTCTAATTGCAGTCGTCTGATTGAGCTCGTCACAGGCTGTTATCATATCACGTAAGGGCAATTTCATTTATGGTTTCATTGTTGTCTTCTTCATCTTTGACAGTGCAAGGTTTTGGACTCACATCTACTAGATGTCTTTGCAAGTTCGAATTTTGTTACTTTTGCGGGAAACAGTGGAAAACGTGCGACTGTCTCTACGCAGAAGAGGAGAACCTTTACGAACGAGATACCTGAACTAGCCAACTCAAGGAGTGCTCCAGATTTTTATTGGAGCGGACATGATAGGATTTGACTGGTCATCTGGGAGATTGATATGGATGCAATTGAAGTGAAGTTGGAACAAAAGGAATTATGTGGTTTACATGTTTTTGAGTCAATCAATTTGATTTATTTCTCGTGGAATAGCCTAAATTGTTCAACAACTTCCTATTTGGTCAAGAATGGTGCATTTTCTGGTCTTTGGTGGTTAACCAGTCGATAGCTTCAGTGCTGCTTTTTGATATCTAGAACAATACCAGCGGATTATACCAGACGATTAAACACATATGTTGGCCATCATAATTACATAAAGATGCTGTAGTAGACTTTTCTGTAAATACGATACGAATTACTATTTACACATTATCTTCTTTATACTCCTCATTATGACTTCACTTATAAATAAAGCAAGATCTGTCAAACATGATCAATGTTTTTGATCTTCCAAAAGCAATTCCACCTTGCTTTGCAAGAGCATCTAAAACTTTGTCCATGATATCAATTCATCGACTGTGATATGAAATCAGGTCAGAATGAGTACCCTAGTACAGCTGGGAGCACGCATTAGTAAGATTTGGAGACGCAGAGCAACCTTGAGAAACTCGAGAGGTGCAGCTCTATCCCTGGAAACAATGGCTGATCAAAACACATCGTTAGGGAGTCTAATGGAACCGAAGAGGTCTGCAGAACTGGCTGATCATATCACCTCGGATGATAGCGATGAAGACATGCTTGATGAAGGTCCGAATGATGATGATGCCGCTGAAATCAGCGAAGAAGAAACCGAGACTCGGCAACAGTGTGTATGCTGTACGGAAGAGCACCCACTGTCGGATATTATTCAAACAGAGTGTGCCCACAACTATTGTTGCGAATGCATTGTTCGCCTTTTTGAAAACTCCCTTGCGAACGAAGCCTTGTTTCCTCCTCGATGTTGCCGCTTGCCAATTCAGGCCTCTGCCGCCGTCGAGGATATGATAGGCATCGAGATGGCGAAGAGATACAAGGAACGAAAGACCGAAATGAGCGACTATGGAAGAACTTATTGCGCAATTCCAACCTGCTCTCACTATATTCCGCCACAGAACATCCGTCGTGGAGTGGGAATCTGCGGGCTCTGTAAGGCTCGAACATGCACCGATTGCAAAAGCCAGGGGCACAGAGGTGATTGCAACTACAAGAAGGTCAAGGCTAGGAAGAAGGCCATTGCTAAGGAGAAGGCCGCGGCTAAAAAGAAGGCCACGGCTCAGAAGAGGGCCATGGCTAAGGAGAAGGCCATTGCTAAGAAGAAGGCAATGGAGGAGGAGATGGCCAATGATGAGAACTATCAGTTGCTTGAAAAACTAGCAAAGAAGAAGAAGTGGCAACGATGTTCCAAGTGCTCTAGAATCATAGAGCGTGTGACAGGCTGCTGGCACGTAGTGTAAGTCGAGTTTGTCCCCATCAAGTTCAGAATTTTTGAAAACTGACAATGTCATTTAGGTGTGTGTGTGGAAACAACTTTTGTTATAACTGTGGGGAAAAGGCTCAGGGCGGTCCATGTTCTAACAAAACTCCAGCAAGCTTCCGAGCAAGAAGACGATGAAAGTGTGAACACCATGCCATGTAGAAGACAGAAATTTGATGCGAATAGAGGAATGATGGATAATGTCGAGTACGAGTTTAGGGGATTGAATAATGATTCACGTTGAATTAGTTTAATTTGTTCGTCTTGTTTTTTGTGTTATGGCTTTTGGTTTATGTGGCTTGAATCTGTGTCCGATGTGCTCCATGGTAACTCTGATAGCTAAAATTACAGTCAATTAATCAGAATGTGAGCACTGATTGCGATCCAGACTCTAATAAAACTAAAATTGGAGGACATTTGCATTGAGAAATCTTCGTCGAAAGGAAGCCATAGACCGGGCTATCGACAAATCACCTACTATGTCTTTTGTCTTTTTGAAGGTCTATTACCTCCAGCTTCTTCTCCATCATTTGCAAATTCTTTCTTCCAAGAGCCATCTTTGACCTTGGTGTCATTGCCGTGTAACCCAACACCGTAAGCGTGTTTCATGCCAGCCAGGCATATCTCCCTTCGCTCATTGAAATCGAACATTGGCTTTGGATACGTGTGTGCAGAGTCCTCGGAGCTAGAGGAACTGCCATCTCCAGTGATCCTGCATCCCCATTTCCTCTGATCTGCAATGGGGGCTTTCCACGGCTCGTATATGTGCTTTTTGTCAAATTTGGCCAGCTCGGGACAATACTTTCTGATAAGAGAGCCTTCTGGATCCCACTTCTTTCCGAACGCGATAGGCGAGTAGCAGCGGTAGAATTGAGCGAAAAATGCCGTGCAGGAGAGCCACATCCAATTTCCCACGTTGCAGGCGACTTCGTCTGTCTTTTTGTTAGCTCTCGCCGGAATCATTTCAACGACGAAGACTCACGATCTATCAACAATTCCTCAAACACCTCTGCACCCCGTTCCCATGATACATAACACCCACCTCGAGTCAGAAAGCAGGCAACGCTGTGTCTTCCTAGATGGTGGATCCAGCCCTCCTGCCTCAGTTGGCGCATCAAAGCATCGATCCATGGGAATCCGGTACGACCATCCTTCCACCGTTGAAACCATTCCTCTGCTTCTTGCGAGTCAACTTCGTAGGACCCGTCGATCGACCCATCCTGATTGGGAGGGTTTGTTTGAAGACGCCAGTCGATGAATCTAGCAACCTCGTTTCCATATGTGTAGGAGAACGCATGCCCAAGAGGTGCTTGGGCAGCGAAGTACATATCGCGGAAGAGCAGCTGGCCAGGGAGATTGGTGGGCACAGTCGAGACTGGCTTTTTGGCTTTTCGTTGTTTGGTTAAAACGCCTTGAACATCCCACCAAAACTTCCGCACAGAAAGCGAGCCAAAATGAAGATGAGGGGATAATAAAGTTGTTGACTGGGGCTCGAAATCGGCTGGCGATGTATTGGGTTTTTCAAACCTGCCGATATAATCCTCATTTTTGATACATTCCCCTAGTATTCTCAACGCTTCTTGCTCGCCTCCTCGGTGGGGAGTGGTCGCTTGGGAAAGATCAATGCCGATGTCTTGCCAAGGAACAGCAAAGTCCCTCGAGGGACCCATAAGATCAGCATATTGTTCATCTTTCTTGGTACGGTGTTCCGCATTCAAGTCCGGCTGGCTATCAATAGACTCTCGTTTGAGACTACCCAAGTCCATACGTTCCTCACCCCAAGGATCAGGAATGCTTTTAGGGGAATCTAGTGGCTTTTCCGGGTTGCCATTGTTGATTTTCACTGCAGCCTTTTCCAGTTGGGTGATGCTCATGGTTGGTTTGCCATTGTTTTTCCGCACAACCTCATCGGGATCAAACAGAGTCCGACCCATTTTGACAATCACTTCGACACCAGCCTTCTGCGCCATATGCATGACCGCGTTATCTCGGTCTCGAGCATACGCATCAGTGTCCTTTTCAAAAACGAGATGTGTCACACCCCAATGTTTCCAAAGCTTTGGAAGGATGGTCTGTGGCCCCTCCCGCACGACGTGGAGCTTTTGTTTCGGATTGAGCTTTGTATATGCCGTAGACAAATCACTTTGACACTCAAGCAGAAACTTCCACCTGTTGGGTCCGACTCGTGCTTTATAAACATAATGCTGGTCCCATGTCCAAATTGGAATAAAGACCGATGGATTTAATGACAGAGCGGCATGTAAAGCTGGGGAATCATGGAGCCTCAAGTCGGTCCTATGCCAGTACAGCACCACTGGATTCGAGGCAGCTCCAGCTTTCATGTTTCTAGCAAGTGACCAGCTTTCCTGGCCAAGTGAAAATGACAATTTCTGACGGAAGAAAGAATGTGGAACAGGAAAGATAGCAATGCAAGCCTTTTATGCAGTTCAGTGCAGAATATGCAAGGTGGTTGACAGACCAGAAAGCAGGGCTAGTCGGTGACGTCATCGGATGTCAAGAGCTGTTTCCTACGAAAGCTATAAGTATAATCATTGCGAAATGAGAAAATCAAAGTGATTGAATTGATGCTACGCATTCGGCGCATATGTGACATATGCTACTATTTAATTAATATCCAAAATAACATTCACTGGGGGATAAGGCCACGGATTTCCTCCTTGGACAGAGTCTTCAGGCCAAACAAATCGTTAGAAAGCTTCTCAGAATTGAAAAGAGAACCAAATCCTTCACCAAAGATAGCCCGCAAAATGAATTTAGTTGCAAAGATTGCTGGGTTGGGGGCCGGCTTAGCCAATTCTGCGAAAGCATCCTGTTCCAGGTCTGTGGTCTTAACAACATTCTTCTCAATGCTCTTGCCGGACAATTCCAGCAGCTCATTCTGCGTGACCCTAGCCTCCTCGATATAAACAGGGGAGTTCTTTGTGGCTTCAAGGTTGTTGATGATTCCAACAACTCCCTTGCCGATGCCACCGAGCGTGGTTGAGCTAAAACGACGATCACCGCCATCGTAGAGCGCAGCCGGGCCAGCCAGATTGAGCACGAAGTTGTGCTGAAGACCCCAGTCGAGGAAGGGGCCAGTAATGAGCAGCGAGTAGCTGAGACCAGACTGCTGAGCGACGTTCTTGAGATGCTCCTGAACGCTGACCTTATCGCCAAAGACAGGCAATTTAGCAGTGAGGGCATTTGTGGTGTCGCACCCGTATTCAGAAGGGATAATTCTCTTAACACCAGTTGCTGCTGCTGCATCGATCAAGCGCACATGGGTGGACTTGGGAACTGCGCCAACATTCAAAGTGCTGACAACAACATCCTGGCCGGACAGAGCGGCCTTGAGCGAGTCGAGGGACTCATAGTCCACCTGTGCAACGTGGGCACGGGAGTCAAAGGTCTTATCGCTACCTTGTCGAGTAAGGACAGTCACGTCAAAGCCTGCGGCGAGCAGCTCCTTGAGCACTGCAGGACCGAGGTTTCCGCTAGCCTGGGGATCACGTTAGCGAACGAAAAGGTATGAGGGTTATTGTGCTGACATACTCCGGCAAGGGCAACCTTAATGCTAGTCATGTTTAAGTTAAGATATAAATGTGTGAGATAATCACAAACTTGGCTCTTCAAGTGAGAATTGTAGGGGGATAGAGTATTCGAAGTAATGAACAGAGTGTGAGTGTTGGATGTCCAATTCGAAGCCCCCAGATAGAGGGGTCATAGCCCTTTATAACCTGATGCCATAGCATATTCGCACGCAATACTGGTACATCATGGGTGATTACAGAGCCATTGTACTACGTTATACTACAGATTTCAAAGGCACATCCATGGATCGCGCGATCCATGACAGGATCAGCGGAATTACATCCGTGATTATGTCAGCTTACGAATTCTCCTGTAGAATTCCGCACTTGGTTATCAATCAATTCCTCCATCTAAAAATACCTGGAATGGTTTCACTTGATAACAAATACATTCTTGGTCATCCTCCAGTGAATCCCGCGCTTGGAATAGGTAATCACCTTGACTGAATAATTCATGTCCCATTTCACGGTTCCTTCTCGCACCCCCTCAATTAGAACCTATGTATTCGACAGGAATTGCAGGCTTGGAGTCCACAATGCCTGCATTCGAAAATATAATCGGGCATCAAGTCACCACATTCCTCGCATTCGGCGGAGATCCCGAGCTTTTTCCACGCCCCTTCATGGTAGCAATCATGCTGCGCAATTAGGAATTGAGCTGCTTGCTCAACAATCTGTGGGGCAGGAGGAACAGGCTGGTTCCGAGCCGCAATCAGCTCCGCTCGCTCTTGAAGCCTGGCCTCATCCCAATGGGCGCATCGGCACTGCTTCCATGGCGTAGAACAAACATAACAGAATTCATGCTGGCAACGGCATCTAGGCAAATGATCGTGTATTAGCATGTGTAGCCATAATGTCAAGCAGTTTTCATGTCGATGGAACGAAACTCTTACGTGATATGGTTGCAGCCGCTACGAAGCTCAACAAGATGACTGCAATTCAAGCATCTTTGCCATCCTTTTTCTTTTGCAAGCTTGAGGACCTCTGCACGGTCATCGACGCATTCTCCCTGATGAGTGGCCTTCTTGCAGAGGGTACACGTTTGTCGATTGCAAGCCCTGCAAGTTGCGGTTGTACCACGGACATGTACTGGCAAAATGTACCGCGAACAAGCTGGGTCTGAGCAATACGTCCGATGTCGATCTCCTTGCTCAATCCTCTTCTCCTCAAATCTCGCCCACAGCTCATCATCGATAATAGCCCGCGCAGCTTCCAATGGCAAAGGCACACGGCAACAACGAGGAGGAAACAAACTTTCGTCAGCCAGGGAATTTTGAAGAAGATGAATCACACATCCTTGGCAATAGATATGCGAGCAACTGCTCTGAATCATGTTGAACTCGGTATGACTTTCCGAGCAAGCGGTGCATTCCCGCAAGACACTAGGAGGAGGCACTGTTGGAGTGGTCGTGGCATCTGCTCGCTGGCAGGATTGAGCCCGAGCATCTGGTTTGGGGACTAGGTCCAATGTGCCACGAGGTTGCTGTCTTTGGAGTGGTTGCTGTTCCTGGGGAGGTTGTTGCGCTCGAGGCTGTTGCTGTGCTCGAGGAGGCACGCGGCCAGCAGGTGGTACAGGAGCTGCCGGAGCTTCATTCACCTCACGATTATGAATGTCTTGAAGAATGGCAGCCTGGTCGAAACGTGATTCTTTCGATATCTGTATAGCCGCTCGAAGGTCTTGTTGGGTCCTCATTCGCCGCCGAAGCTCGGCTCGCCAGTGTAAAAGAGCAAGATTCTGATCACCAACCCGCGCTCTTTCATTGTTTGCGTCACGACTCAATGACCTCAAAGCATCTTCAACCTCCTGCAGTGCAGCTTGTAAAACAAGATCGGCTGTGTCAAGGTCCGTTGTGTTGGGATCCATAGTAAAGTCAGAAATAGAGCGGGGAGAAGTGGTTCTTTGGTCTGTAGGTCAAAGACAATGTTCACCCAGATATAAGAAGAGATTTGCATCCCACGACTCGATGGCCAAGGGGAAGGGCATACAGGGGTTGAGACAAATGGCAAACAGGCAGTCACACGGCTTGATAAATAAGGGAAAGAGATTGAGAAGTCAGACATAGATATAAGGTGAAGAAAATGGAGATGAAACAAAGTAATTGGGAAGATTGAAGAAGAAAAGACCGGAAAGAGACACTGATGAAATCACGCTCGACTCTCGAGTCTCAAGTCTCGATCCAGTGGACAGTAAAGGGTGCACGTGAACACAGACTAATTTTGGGAAAGAACGAGGGACAGTCAGAGAGGGAGGTCACTTGGGAAATACCTAGAAGAGAAAAGAGATAGAGAAAAGGTCTCGACCACAATAGAAGAGGAAATGAAGATGCTAGAGGGCTGGTTCTGGAACACCTGATTTCCAGGCCCTCCCTACACCATGTGAGCAAAACCTCGCGTATAATAAGGATGAATGATGATATATAATTGAACAAACTTATTCTAGTTCTGTGCCAATTCTGGCAACTAAGAACAGTATATAGCATTGCCTGTGAAGCCATTGAAAACAAGACAGACTACTTTGAGCTAACAAATTTCATGTTGGCATTCTTCTTTTGCTTGGTGCAATTCCTTGGACCTGGTCACAATCACTAAACTGTAAGTGGATAATGTGCTTTGGTAGAAATGTCTTGCGTATTATTATAATCTCCTAGCTTAATATTCAATTGTTTGTTTAATTGCGTCGTAGATTCCTAGAGCGAGAAGATCATCGGTTAGTTATAATAGGAACGAACTGAAGGGTACTGGGTACTAACTTGCAACATCAGGCAGGATGAATTGCTCGTAACTCAGCCCAGTATGTGTGCTCCACCCAGCAACTCGCTTAACGGGGGCTTCAAGACATAAGAAAGCACTATCTTGTATTGTGGATGCAACCTCTGCACCTACGCCATAGTTGATCATACTCTCATGCACGACAATGGCTCGACCCGTCTTCTTGACACTGTTGATGACGGTTTGCCTATCCCAGGGATATATAGTTCGTAGGTCAATCAGTTCCACACTGGCACCGGGCATGGTCTTCTCAATGGCGGAGATAGCAGAAGAGCACATGTAAAGAGGCTGTCCATATGAAATGACGGTCAAGTCCTTACCAGGTTTGATGACCTCAGCCTTGCTGAGCGGGATGGTGTAGTATTCATTCGGGACATATTCCACGGCTGCACGGTAGAGGATCTTGGGTTCCATAAAGATCACCGGATCGTTGTGCTCGAAGATAGAAGACAGAAGAAGTCCTTTTGCTTGAGCAGGAGAGCGTGGCATGACTACTCGCAAACCAGGAATATGCGCAAAGAGCGATTCTGGGGATTGAGAGTGGTACCTATTCCAGTCAATTAGCATACCAATTTGCTTGGCATTCAGATACAACATAACGTACAGAGCACCGTGTCCAACCGCACCACACGGCATGCGGATGACAAGACCCCCGACATTGATGCCTGTCCCACCCTCTCGATACCGAAACTTGGCCGCTTCATTCACAATCTGATCGAATGCTGGAAATACGTAGTCGGCGAATTGGATCTCAGCTATAGGTTTCATCCCTTCCGCTGCTGCCCCAATTGCAAAACCCGCAATACCTTGTTCTGTCAAGGGGGTATTGAACACTCGATCTGACCCAAATTCTGTTTGGAGATCCATCGAGCATCGGAAAACACCCCCAAATCCAACATCCTCGCCAAAAACGATTGTTCGATCGGATTTGGATAGTGCTGTCCGTAGTGCTGAGTTGATAGCTTGGTAGAGGTTAAGTCGTTTACTTGTAGCACCTGCCGGGTACTCTGATGTATTTGACAAGGATGATGAAGTGTGGTGTAAAATGGGGGTGGTTTTGTAGTCAATAGGTAGGTTCAGCTTTGCTGCCGGAGTAGGAGCTCCAGAGTAGAACCGGCGAGGAGTTTGGGCAAGAGACCGTAAAGAGGTTCTTAAAGAAGCCATCTCTAGTTAATATTATGGGATATGAACAGAATGTAAATGCATAAGTTTTCTTCTTTGTAGGGATGATTGCCTTTAAATTTACTCCTTGTTCATTGTCCGGGGCATTGCGCGGGGAAACCGCCGCGGATAGCCGAGATGATGCAAACGGGGCAAACCAGCCAAACGAGTCAAACCGGACCTATGACGAAGTGTGATGGGTAACATAGTAAATAATGGATATATATTATAAGCACTGTGGAATATCGAATCTCCATAGAGCGTAGAATCATAGAGTGTTCAGGGTGAGACCTAACATGCTGATTGTGTACTCTCTTTCAATGGATTCCGAGATCGGACTTGATCTTTGCTCTAGTGTTATCTTCGTGTGTAAAAGTTGAAGCCGGATTTTGCTCATCCTCTCCATAAGAAACTGGATAAAACCCAAACTTGACTCTTCATAGCGAGACTCACAAGCTTATATCTCTTTTTGAAAGCCATTGGACTTGTAGGTTTGCTGTAGGAGTATCTCGGATTTGATTCGGTCAAAGATTAGAGGGGCAATAATCTCTTATCGGGGCTATCACTTCGGACCCGTGACTTGCTTCCCCGGCCCACCAAAATTGCCATTTTTTCCCAATGACTCAATCTTCCTTCTGTTTTATACTCCACGTCTATAAGTCTTTTTTGAATTTTACATTCAATTCTACACAATGGCACAGGGAAAGGTATGAACTATTGCTTCTGCGCTACAGCTTCCTTCTCAATCCCCAATCTCAATCCCTCAATTCTATCTCACACCGCCACCGGCTCTCCACACTTTGTCTGACAGTTCAATCACACAGGTTTGCCTCGCCTACTCCGGCGGTCTCGACACCAGCTGCATCTGTATGAATATCACCGGTCAATTCATTCACCAATTTCGGATACTAATGATACCGAATTTTAGTGAAGTACCTCATTGAAGAGGGCTATGAGGTCGTCTGTTTCAGTAAGCCACGATTCAATACCATGTCAAATAATGATCAAGTACTAATATGAATATAGTGGCCGATGTTGGCCAGGAAGGTAATTAATTCAGTCGGCATATCGTCATCCAACACCACTCTAATAACTATTCGCAGAGGACTTCGAGGCTGCCCGCGAGAAGGCTCTGAAGATTGGTGCCCTCAAGTGCGAGATTGTTGACATCCGCCGCGAGTTCATCGAGGAGCTTTGCTTCCCCGCCATTGCTTGCAACGCTGTCTACGAGAACGTCTACTTGCTCGGTACCTCCCTTGCTCGCCCCGTTATTGCCCGTGCCCAGATCGATGTCGCCCAGGTACGCTTTACTTAACCCGCCAGCAGAAAGATGTCATACTGACTCAAACCTAGCGCGAGGGCTGCTTCGCTGTCTCCCACGGCTGCACTGGTAAGGGTAACGACCAGGTCCGCTTCGAGCTTGCCTTCTACGCCCTCCAGCCTGACATCAAGGTCATTGCCCCGTGGCGCGACCCCGTCTTCTACGAGCGCTTCAAGGGCCGTCAGGATCTGCTCGACTACGCTGAGGAGAAGGGTATTCCCGTCACCTCTACTAAGTCTAAGCCCTGGTCTATGGACGAGAACCTTGCCCACTGCTCTTACGAGGCCGGCATCCTGGAGGACCCCAATACCACTCCTCCCGCCGACATGTGGAAGCTGACCCAGGATCCCCTGACCGCCCCCGATCAGCCCGAGGACTTCACTCTCTACTTCGAGAAGGGTGTCCCCGTCAAGCTTGAGTACACTGAGGCTGGCAAGCAGAAGGCTGTTACCGACTCCGTCGAGCTCTTCCTCACCGCTAACGCCATTGCCCGCCGTCACGGTGTTGGCCGTATCGATATCGTCGAGAACCGTTTCATCGGTATCAAGTCCCGCGGCTGCTACGAGACCCCCGGTCTCACCTGCCTGCGCTCTGCCCACCTGTGAGTATTGTATCGCGAAAGTATGATGGCATAACTGACATGTGTCTAGTGACCTTGAGGGTCTTGTCATGGACCGTGAGGTCCGTGCTCTGCGCGATTCTTTCGTCACCTACAACTACTCCAAGGTAAGCACGATATTCCCGGTATTTGAATCTCTGATCTAACATATCCAGCTCCTGTACAACGGCATGTACTTCTCCCCCGAGCGCGAGTTCCTCGAGTCTTCCATCACCGCTTCCCAGAAGTCTGTCAACGGCCAGGTCCGCTGCCGTGCTTACAAGGGTACCGTTTCCATCCTCGGTCGCTCCTCCGAGACTGAGAAGCTCTACGACATGAGCGAGTCCTCCATGGATGAGATCGGTGACTTCTCCCCTGCCGAGACCACTGGTTTCATCAGCGTGTCTGCCATTCGTCTCAAGAAGTACGGTCTGATGAAGGCCGCCGCTGGCGAGAGATTGTAAATTGTGTCTCCGGAAGGATGACCATATCATCTTCAATTTCGAATGATTGGAATGCCAAATGTTGACCGTCCCTGGCTTCCTCAGGCCAGCATGTCAAGTCTCATTGTCCAATATTCCACCGATGTGTGATGGATGGTCTTGGGCTTGAATGACTGTATAATGACTAGAGAAAATATTAACAATATGGGAATTGGTATTAAAAATGCAATGTGTTGGATGAATTGAACGATCCCATCTTTAATATGTCCACATAAACTTGTGCCTCCAATGAAGGGGAGTTGACATTTCTAAAGCTATGTACTCTTTATTCTAGTCGCTAGATGGTAACAAAAACCGAGGTATAAACAGGTGATGTATCGTATCGACAACGTCTACAGATTCGCATTGGCCCTGATCTGTCCTTGGTCTTCTGCCCACAAGTTAGCACATGACTACCAGAGATAAGAGGGAACATACCATTCCAAGTATCCAATGCCGCCTTCTCTGCGTCCCAACCCCAAAGGAACTCTTGTGTCCTACGATCGGACCATTTATCGGGGTTATTTCCGCTGGCCGAAGCCTTGAACTGCGCATCTCGGGCAATTTGCTCAGGCCCATCTGGCAAATGTAACGTAACACGATTTTCCGATCCAGACTGCTGCACCGTCTCAGCACGTTTCTTCCGAGACCTTTCATAAACACTCAATGCATGCGGAATCTCCTCGCGTGATGAAATAGCCGATAAGACGACACCAAGCGCGGCCGCATCTTCAACAGCCTGGGCAGCACCTTGAGCAACATATGGACTAAACAAATGAGATTAGTCGTGAAGCAAACCAGCCAAAATTTCTTGAGCACATACAGCATGGGATGACAAGCGTCACCGATCAGAGCAACGGATCCCCGGATCCATGTTTTCAACGGACGATGCAGACACAACTTCCACTCCAAAACTTCATTATCATCGACCAGATCAATAAGTTTCCGCACCGTGCTATCCCACCCATCATAGTTGTCCACCATAGCCTGCTTGGAACCCTTCGTGGTCCAAGACTCCTCAACACCATGGCTATCAGGATGAAGCAGAACAACATTGTACAATTCATGCTTGCGCACAGGGTATGCGATAATATGGCGTGAGGGGCCAATCCAACGAGTCGCTTGCGGCTCGTCAATGAGCTTCTTCAATGCAGGATCTTCCTCCATAATGTGCCGGGGTAGCATGATGCGGTACGCCGCGTCACCAGTAGCAACTGCTTTAATAGTCGAGTCTTCAAGCAGGTGGTCACGAATAGTGGACTTGATGCCGTCTGCACCGATTACCACGTCACAGCGGATGATTTGGCCATTGGCAAGACTAACACTTGCTGGGTAGAACTGCACATCTGTGACGGTTGAGTCCTCGCGCAGCTCAACGTTGGGTAGGGCTAGGGCCCTGTCGATGATAGCATTGTGCAGGTCTGCGCGGTGGATAACGACTTGCTGGCCGAATGTCTTATTCACTGGCATTGTGCCGAGGAGCTTTCCGTTGTCCCATCTTCGGACATGGATGTGCTCTAGGGCTACATCTTGGGCGTGGATTAGGTCCGAGACGCCCCATCCTGATGCCAGTTAGCATGAACACATGGACATTTTCTTCGCAGAACGCAGACTGACGGTCGAATAGACGCAACATGTTTGGGGACACTTGAATTCCAGCTCCCACTTCCATGAGCTGTCGTGGGTTGTTAGCCTTGGTTGAGACGCCACGGGTTTTTGACGACACATACTTTCGGCGCAGCTTCAAGGACAATGACATGGTGCCCTCGCAGACCTAGTGTGAGGGCTGCCGCCATACCGCCGATGCCTGGTTCGATTATTGTTAATACAGCTCTTTTCCCGAGCCAATGCAGCTTTTTGCTGCGTTCAGAAACAACATACCAGCACTACAACACATTAGTATAACAATCTCACATCTTGAACCATGCACAACGGAAAACATACCCGACAACAATCACCTCTAAAGGCACATTTGCCTTTGGGACCTCCATCCTGACACTTCCGTTATACGAGAATGAGAGTGGTATGCGATAGAAACAAATGCTTCGAAACGACGAGCTTTTGGTCGGCAAGCCAGGTCTTGAAGTACTCGAGAAATTACTACCCCCAGTCTATTCGTTCAAAGGATTGCCGTTCCGATCCACACTATTTTGGGGAAGGGAAAGATGAAATTGGCGAATGCCGAAGAAAAATATACAATTTCTCATTCCCAGCTGCTTTAGCGCCTTGCACCGATCCACAGCTTACCCCCCGTCAGCTTATCAGACCGGAGAAATTGGAATGGAGCCATCATTTCCTTATATCATCTGGATTCTTGGCCAATGCGACGGCACTCTGCGGCTTCCTGTGGGGCCAACGGGTTCCCCCAGCTCCCCCAGCATTGCTTAAGTACCGAATTTGCAAATTGAGGGCAGAGTCCATATTGAAGACGATATTTTCTTCGACATAATTGTGCAACTGAGCGCAATAATTGCACATGGAAAAAAAGCATATACTAATAATATCTGGCTTTGTGGCTTGTCTCTGGCAACCCCGATCGCCTGTTCGTTGCCGGTCCGGGATTAGCCAATGGGCGCATTGCTATGCTGAACCTCCGGCTCTT